TATTGTTTAAGAGCATGCAGGAGACTACGCGAAGATTATGCGAGATTTCTTTTTTTTTTTTTCCCACATTCAAATTTAAATTCAGGTATATGGAATTGAGACAAGGGCTCCGTATTTGAAACGCGTCAAGCTTTTTTCTTATAGTCAAGGGGGACTAGGTTCTACTATCGTAACAACCTTTTCTCTCTCTCTTTTTTTTTTTTTTTTTTTTTTTTTCATGCATGCATGCATGCACTTCAATTTCGATTAGTCAATCGATTCACTGATAAATTTCTAAAACAATCAAAGTGTAGACAATCAGCAAGATTGGTGTATATTGTCCAATTGCGCAAGTATCCTTTGTAAAGAGCAAAGAGTTGATGAGGAACCTCGTCGTTTTAGTGTTGAATGACGCACACTTTTTTATTTTTTTATTTTTTATTTTTTATTTTTTGGACGCGACGTTGTTAGTCTAGTGTAAAGTCAATGTCTTGTTATATACTTTATTTACTTCTCAACTTTCTTTTCAAAAATGAAATGTATGACAAAACCAAAATGGTAGTCTCCCTTAGTTTCAATTGCTTTTATATAATGAGAGAAAGAAAGAGAGAAAAAGAAAAACAAAAAGAAAAACGAAAAAAAAAAAAAAAAAAAAAAAAAAAACAAAAAAAAAACCCCCCGGCAAAGATAACAGAAAGAGGAGATATGAATGCAAAAAGCAATAGGGTGATCGATAAAATTTACCCGATCAACAATAAGATCAAGAAAAAGAGAGAAAGAAAGAGAGAAATGGGATGACAAGACAAATGCTGAGTAGGCATTGTCCCTGACTTTATTGAATAGAATAAACTACGTAAAGCGCGTCAGTATATAGTCTACAATGTATAATTAACAAATATATATATTATATATCCGTTTGTGTGTTTTTAACGCGCAGTTCTCAATTCAACCAGCTTGATTATCTATATGTATTATATATAACATTATGTTTGAATTCTCACATTTAACATTTTTATTTTGTTTGTGTAGATGTCAACAGGACGGCTTACTACCGCTTTGTATGAATGTACATGTACATATCGTCAAGTCTACTCTTTTTTCTATTAAAGTTATATACAGAACATGGCGCCATACCTTACGCCATACCTTTTCTTATTCTTCTTTTCCCTTTCCTCATGAGAAACATCAAAAAGATGGATCCGAAATGATATTAACATTGAGCCGGGACAAATGATGATTAATAAATATAGTAAATACACATACAGTATACTTCTTCATCATGTGTGTAATTTCTATATATTAATGTAACAGTCTCTTCATAGATGAAATTTATTTATCCAATGTTACATATTTCTGTACAAATTACACATTCGTGTACACCCATAATAAAAACATTTGGCTCTCTTGAGCCAATGGATTTTGTCCGATCACATTCATCTCTTCCCAGTAACAACCTAATGACGCTGTTGTTGTTGTTTAATGTTTTCATTTACCACATTCGTGGGCGTAGCTCTGTCGCCGGTTGAATTCCTTGATTATATACATGTACCTGGGCTGATTTCTTTTGCACAGGGAAATGATCTTATTGGCTGTAGACAAAGTTTGATTAATTCTTTTTTTTTTTTTTTTCTTTTTTTTTTTTTAAGAGAGGATATTGTTCCCCCCCCCCCACATTTTGCAATCAACTTTACTTCAACAGTGACTCTGATAATGAATCTGATGAAAATGAAAAAAATGCGGAATGCAATGGACATTGTTGAAGATCGAGGTATGTATTTATATAGGCAATACAATATAAGGGCTATCTATCATCAATCATATGTACCCCATGCTTTGGAGCAGCTTTGCGTTCATATACTTTGCTGATAAACGTACTTCGTATATTGGCTCCTATATATATATATATATATAACAATAATATATTGATCCCATTCTGAAGCTAATACTTCAAAACATAGCAACTTGAGGAATGGATGCACTTTGAAGGACCTCACTTGAAAAGCGTAGTCTTCATTTTGGTCCTAAACAGAGAAATCAGTGCACCTGAAGGTAGGAGCCTACTAACCGCAGACAAGGGATAACAGTTCGACAGACTGAGTTACGAATGATTCGATTTATATCATTCTAAAGCGCGGTCTCGAATGTCTATTGAGTAGAGTATTTGATCACGTAAGGGACCCAAGTATTATATATTAAGGAATCCAACATTCCAGATCGAGAAATGCTCCGAAAGCAAGTGTGGAGACAAAGATTTTTTTTTTTTTTTTTTTTTTTTTTTTTTTAATAAACGGATTTGTTCCCTTGACTGAAATACTTTATGAGTCAGAGACTCTTCTCACTCTATTCAACTCTGAGGCATGGGCTGAAACTCTCTTCACACACACACACACATACCCATGTGCCGCTCACAATAACAAACAACAAACAACAAACAAACAACAAGCAACTATCAATTAACAACTAGCAACTATCAATTAACAACTAGCAACTAACAACAATTATCACAGCCAAGACTTGATGATGAATGTTGACCAAAGTTGATGTATAAAAGTAATATTTTAGTATATTAAAATATATTATATATACTGTACATTTTTTTACTTTTGGGCTAGAAGAGACAAAGTAGAAAAAAAAAAAAAAATCTATCCAGTCAATGAAACACAAACTCTACATATTGAATTAACTTTTACTAGGTTCTCTATTGCAGCAGGTATACGCCACTAATCGTCATTTACGGCTGTATTACTAGAGGGAGAATTTGGGTTTTAGTTATTGAACGGAGCATTTTTTTCTTTAAAGTAAAAAAAAAAAAAAAAAAAAAAAAAAGGATCTGAGAACCCAGTAAATTGACATGAACCGTTTTCGTGAGATCCATAAGAACCATGACAATCATGACGGTATGATAATAGGCTAGAGGCTCCTCCAGTTTAGATGGATATATATATAATATAATACAGACATATCTAGTCTAAATGAAGGAGGAAACGCGCTTTTCAAAAAATAAAAAAAATAAAAAAGAGGAGCAAGCACAGGTGCACACAAAATGTTAAAATAGATTGTTAGACCCTTTTTTTTTTTCTTTCCCTTCTATTGATATTAGTTTGAAACAAGCACCCTATCTTTTGAGAACTTATTCTTCCACTAGCCTCTTCATTCATTCTCAACTGCTTCAATTAGCATATTCTCATCCTCATCCCATTCTTTCACTCTTCTATCCTCTCCTCTTGAGATATACTTTATATGGTTTATACAGGTTTATTTTATTTTATTTTATTTGTTTATTGCTTGCAGTAACTTCAATTGAAAAAAAAAAAAAAAAAAAAAAAAAAAGATACAGGATGAGCAGTTGTGGATTCAGATGAATCAATGAAAGTGCGTAGTGATATAAATATAAATGATATACAGAAGAAACCCTGGTTGAAGTGAAAGGGTAAAGAAAGCAAAATAGTACACATAAAAAATGAAAAAACCATGTCGAAACAATGTTACAAAAAGTATATATAAATAAATATAGAAATAATAGTAAGTACAAGTAGATGACTAGAAAAATAAAAAAAAAAAAAAAGTTGTAGCAATGGTAATAATGGCAATAATTAAAATCAAATGGTTTCTAATCCTAGTCCTTATTAGAAGTATAGGAGTTGGTAACAAGAAGTCTTCCAGCAACAACCCAAGGATGATTGCGAAGTTCCTGCGAGGTGGGTCGTTTAGATCCTACGGTTTGAAGAAGCCATCTCACTAATCCCTTGGCCTCATCTGATACTGGACTTACACCTCGCATTTTAGGTACAATCATAGTACTGACCACTTCTTCTGCTGGAGCTTCTTTAGAAAGGGTCTCTAGCGTTGCTGCAGGCAGTAATGTTCCAGATGCTGCGGAAGATGTCGGATCATTTCCGTTTACTGCACTCATCGCTGTAGCTGTAGCAGCTGTTGGAATGGTTGGGGTAGTGGCGGCACTCGAGGATGCATTAGAGGCGGTGCTGGTTGTGGAAGACGATCGCTTATGATGAAGATTGAAAAGACTTGCTCGCTTGATCGAGACCTTCTCGCCTGGGAATCCAAACTCTGCGTGAGCAATCATACTCAAGAAACTCTTGCGGCCCATTCCCGGTCGCATGTTGAAGGGCAGGAATCCGACCAAGAGTGCATAGAGCATGACGCCCAAGGACCAAATGTCAGCCTCTCGGCCGTCATAGGGTTGTCCTAGAATGATCTCTGGAGCAGCATAGTCCTCTGATCCACAACGGGTCGTTAACAGTGGTGTATCTGCCTCAATCACTTTGGCAAGTCCGAAATCTGTTAGCTTGACAGTTGGTCGTAAAGGAGCATCCATTCGTGGCTCCAACAGCACGTCTGCACAAATCATAACCAATGCGATAATAGAGAAAGGAAAACACAACAAAAGGAAGAGTCAGTAAAATCGCATAGGATACAACTTTCAGGCATCAAGTCACATCTTTGGAAACCGCCAAGAAGCACGTGCACTCTTTTACAATAAGAAAGCTTTTTTTTTTTTTTTTTTTTTTTTTTTCCGCACGTCTGTGAGAATATGGTTTATTGTCAACCACATGGTCGAGGGGTTGGATAGAGTTTTTAGCCTCGTGCAATTTTTTTTTCCCAGCCCCTTCCTCATCCTTTCTTTTTAGAAATGCATGTCACTACAATTTCTTGTGCCCATTATCAACTTTCCCATGCATCAAGTATTTCGAATAGCAATGTACTCCTGTTTTCATAAACGCAAACTAATAGAAAGGCCAGAAAATAGAGCATGCACTCATATGATTGTTGTCGCCTCAGTCTATTTCTCCAATGGCCAAATGAGCAAGGTGTAAGGAGAGGGAAAATAAAAAAAGTAGCCGGAGAAAAACTGAGCCAAGGGCTGATGATTGGAAGACAGCGGCGTCTGTGTTTTGTTGAGTCGAGTCCAAGACTGTGGCGCTGAAGTTTTTGTTTTGTTTTATGTATCCATTCTCAATTAATTAACGCCCGCCAAGAAAATTCATTTCTCTGAAGACTTACTTTCCAACTTGAGATCCCTATGGACAATATTATTTTGGTGCAAGTAATCCACAGCTAATTGTCAATTATTGCAGAGTGGGCAGAAGCGTGGATTATTGTTAGTAATCATGGGCAGGATACTAAAGATGTGAGTAGATACATGTTGTATTCTAGACCTGTGCCCTTACCATCGACAATCTGTGCAAAAATATATTGTATATCCTGTTCAGAAGCCTTAGCACGCTTATCTGCAACATACTCGAACAGCTCTCCTCCTGAGGCATAATCCATGACAATACATGTTTGGAGTGAAGTCTCGACCACTTCACGGAACCCGATTATGTTGGGATGGTGAATAGACTACAATGCATTCCATTTATCAACCACAAACAAATGAGTATTAAAAAGGAGAGCCACACACAGACATCCACAAACAGAGGCGAAGAGAGCAAGGCGTGGAAAAGTAAGCTCGAGTCATTGGATGACTGAGGCTTCACATCTGATGTAACCAAAAGGTGAGACACAAGGAAAGTGGTGTACAGAAACCAAGGGTGATGATGACTCTTAATGACAACAAAGAGAGGGAGAACACGGTCTAAAATAAGCTGTTCTGGCGCTTTTTTTTTTTTTTTTTTTTTTTTTTTTTGCATGAACTTGTGATAACATGAAGACGAAGGGATTTGATTATAATGAATATGTTTGCTTGTTTACCTTGAGTAGGTCAGATTCTCTTCGGACACTGATACCCAAACGGTCGCTTGACTGGATCATGGCCTTGCTCATCACTTTGATTGCAACGTGGTCACCTGTTCGGGTGTCAACGGCCATCTTAACTTCTGAAAAGCTTCCTTGGCCAATGCTATGAAGTAGCTTATATGGACCAACGGTGTTTTTAAGTCCCGGATAGATTTTTCGTTGGCTTGATGGCGCCGAAATAGCTGAGCTTGCACTGTTGGGCGCAGCAACTGAAGTAAGAGTTTCTGATCCGGTGTCCAATACAGATGACTCGGACATATCCTCATCGGCCTGCGTAGAGACCCAACTTTGAGTTGATAAGGCAGACGGTGCATTAGGGGGGTCGCGAAAGATATTACCAACCGAGAGACTTGATCTCGCCATTGGTGAAGGAAGGTTTGAGAACAAATTAGTCTGCGAACTGGAAGGGGTAAGGAAGGGATTCTGGTTGGGGTAATGGCGATGGAGCTCTGGCAGCGCCTGTGTTTGGATGTGGGGATGGCGTGCATGATGATGGTTATGATGATGACTATGGTTATGGTTATGGTCATGACTGTGGTTGTTGTGGTGGTGAGAGAATGATCGTACAGCGACAGGTGAAGCGTGGGAGAGAATTGAGCTCGGGGTTACTGCGATAGATGAGCCGATATCAACCGGATCTAAATGAGAGTGGGTAGAATCAGTTCTGAAACTATCTTCAGTGCCCATTGTCGAGAGCGAGGCTAGACTGGGCGAGCCACCTGCTGCTTTGGGAAAAGCAGACATTTCTGGGGCGACGGAGAAGATGTTGCCACCATGGTTGCTGGAATGTTGCTGACTGTGCGAGAGCGAGCGAATGTGAGCATTGTGGGCTGAAGCGTATCTGGATTTGTATTTGGATCCTAACATATCAAGGGAGTCGCCAGGGGCGAGAATGGGTGTAACAGGCGTACTTGTGGTGCGTTGGGAAGTGATAATGGAGGGTGGAGGCGGAGACCGAGCAGTAGCAGCAGAAGGAGGAGATTTAGGCATGGGAGCTAAACGAGGTGGTGGTTTAGGAGTTGGGGTGCTGCTGGCGAAGGCATCGTCCCAGAAGGATTTCGACGCAGGTTTCGAGGGAAGGGATGGGACAAGAGCATCCTCGTCTGTTTCACGATCACTTTCACCAAGAGAAGGAGGACGAAAAGGAGCTGGGCCCGGTGCAAGTTTGGAATGGTGTCGGTAGCGGTCTGAAGGATCGATGACAAATGAAGTTGACCATGCAGTCGACTTTTGCTCCGAGACATGACGCGGGCTTGAGGAAGCCATTTGGAAAGGGGAAGTCAGAGGTATATGTAAGTGTGTTGTATGTAAATGTGTGAAGCAAAGTGTTGAAATGAGAGTCAGAATAAAGAATGGAGAAGTTCGGGAAGAGGAAAGTGAGTCAGAGAATGTGAGATGAAAGAAAAAAAAAAAAAAAAAAAACAGAGAAGGTGGAGAAGAAAAAAAGTGCCGCCAAAAGACAGGAGAATTAAAATAAGCACGGCAAAAAAAAAAACAAAAACAAAAAAAAAAAAATGTGGGGAAAGCTCCAATAGCGTAATTACTATGACACAACTAATAAAGTAAAGGAACGAGTTCGTTCAAGACACTGAAACAGCGAAAGAGAAATTAAGAGAAAGAGAAAGAAAGAGAGAGAAAGAGCGAAGAAGGGAGAAGAAGAGAGAGGAAGAGAGGGGAAGAGAGAAGAGAGAGAGAGGAATAGAGAGAAAAGATGAAAAGAATGAACAATGAAGTATTTGAAATGAGATTTCATTTGGCTTTTTGGATCTTAGTCTTGAAGTAATTGAATTTTAGTCAGAAAAGAAAAAAAGAAACCGATGACTCTTTTTGTCGTGGTATGCATGTAATCATAGCAACGAGACTAAACGGATATTCAATGAATAATAAAGATAAATTACATATTCCAACAACCGAAAGCGATGCTCATCGCATGTGTTAGATGTGTGCATGACTGACCTTCCTCTCCTTACATGTCCAAAGCGAGGCTACTGCTCATCTGTGTGCAGTAGAGGAAACAGAGTCTGTTTTCTATTCATGTTCTGGACGAATCCATTGCCCTTCAATTGCTCTTCCACTTTGCTTGCGCAGCCTCTTTGACACACTACGCGAATCAGCACATAACACACAGCTCGCAAACGCGTGAGCTCATGGTAAAAGAGCATTGTTCAAACATTACCTTTACTTCCTGCTTTACTTTTTGCTTCGCTTTCCTTTGCCTTACTTTTGTTCTTCATTTTCTTCTTTTGGATGAAAATGTCTTGTCTTTGTGGAGAGGGATCTTTGTGTAAAAACGTGAAATGGTGTGACACGTTGTCAATTTACAAAACATGGAGGCCCTGGGACATAAAGTATTTTACGCTTTTTTTTTTGCTTTATCAAATCATCTTACTCTTTCTCATTCCTCATTCTTCTCCATTTTCTTTCCTTTATTTTTTTTTTTAATCAGTATTCAAGTCATGGCCCAGAACGACGCTTACGACTTCCTCTTCAAGATCGTCCTCATTGGTGACTCAGGTGTCGGCAAGTCAAACTTGCTCAGCCGCTTCACTCGTGGTGACTTCAACCTTGAATCAAAGTCCACCATCGGTGTTGACTTTGGCGCTAGGACTGTTCAAGTCGAAGATGGCAAGATGATCAAGGTAAAACCAACCTACAGCAACCATTATAACTCACTTCGGCACTTTGTTCTCTCTTGTCTCTTTTAGTAAATGAGGGTGAACGTCTATGAATATTTATTCCTCTCGGGTGTTAATGGTAGTGGGGTGAGCTCATTTGCTATTTGCATCAAAAACGCGAGATGATGACCATTCATGGATGGACTATGAATGAACAAAATTTCGGCAGATGATGAACCCTGGCAGCGGCAATAATTTTCGACACTATTATGAACTACAGGCTATTTGTACCTCTTTCCCTATCGCTCCCCCGCTCTCCTTTTCCTTCTCTTGTCTTCATTCTCCCAACAGCCTCACCTTGCAGGAGACAGATTGGTGACAGGCATGACAGGCAAAGAGATAGAAAGACTTTATCTTTCATATGTGTAAGACGAAGGGACCAGGAGTTATGCTGCTAAGTCGCGCCAGGTGGTAAAAATATCTGTCCCAGACACCCCCCTCTTTTCTCTGCACTGCCATGGTTAAGATTTTTTTTTTTTTTTTTTTTTTTTTATTTGTCCCGTGGTCTCTGATAGCCTCTTGCATACGAAATGATACTCTAGAAAAGAAAAAAGAGGAAGAGACATTTTTCAGTAGCCATTATAGCCATACTCATACTTGCTTTTCTTTTTTTCCTTCTTCATGACTTTAGGCCCAGATTTGGGATACTGGTAAGGGGCAAATAACCTTAACTGGACTCTTGGCTCAGGCCTTTTTAAAAAGCTCTACTAAGATGCTGACCAAACGTGTCTGTGTACTCTTTTTGGATTGTAATCGTCAATAGCTGGACAGGAACGTTATAGGGCTATCACCTCAGCCTACTACCGAGGTGCTGTTGGTGCCTTGTTATTGTATGATATCACTCAACATGGCACCTATGAATCTGTCTCAAGGTGGCTATCTGAAGTTCGCGAGCATGCGGATTCAAACATTATCATCATGTTGGTCGGTAACAAGTCTGATTTGAGACACTTGCGCTCCATCCACACAGAGGAGGCCAAGAATTTTGCAGAAGAGAACGGTCTTATGTTCATTGAGACTTCTGCTTTGGATGCCACCAACGTTGATATGGCCTTTACCAGACTGTTGACTGAGGTAGGGACAAAAAAAAAGAAAAGAATTCAGTACACAGGAAATACACACTCATCAATCTCTCTCCACATGCTCATAAAAAAAAAGTAGTAGCAGCTGATGATCTTTATTTTTTGTAATGCTCTCCAGATCTATAAGGTGGTCACAAATCATATGCCCAAGGAAGGTGGCAAGGATGAATTAAAAGCTGGAGGCGCTTCAATCAGCATAACGCCTACTCCTCAGGACAAGCCTGCCGGTAGTGGATGCTGCTAAGGAAGAAAAACAGCAACATAGACCTCATGCCCTTTTTTTTTTGTTTTCTATATTATTCAGTTCCTTTCCTTTGATTTTTGTTCAAGTCGAATGCAGATTGTATTTTCAAGCATGAACAAGATTTAGCAGCAGCCAGATATCGTTGTATATTTTCTCTCTTTCCCTCACTTCTCGTATATATTCGTCCCAATAAAACCCAGAAGATGCAGTGCAATGGAAACTGTAATGACCCTTCTTGAAGCTTTTAGGCTTTTTTTTTTTTTTGCGTTAATGACATCATCTTTTTTGACTATACGAAGCCTTCTTTTATATAGAATCATATAGAATCATGCTGTTAAACGCGTCCATATTTGTACATAATACGGCATTGTGATCTGGTTTTGAAACTTGTCTTACATCTTTTCACTTCCCACACTTTCAACCCATTTGCATCTCTTCTTTCTCAACTTCTCTTTCATTTTCCTTTTTTTTTTGTTACAACCTTTTCCTCAGCCTACAGACTACAGAGATAACATACATACACCATGGACAATCATCAGCGTCAACAGCAGTATCATCCAGTGATCGATACTCTAGAAAAGACTCGCCAAGAGCATCATGAGGAACCCTTCCCTCACTCTCCTCCAGAAAACCGACCTTCTGTGACACGTACTCCTAGCGGTCGTCTCTTGGGAAGGACCGGCGCAGATGTAGTCGACCAAGTTGTGCAACAAGCCGAGGCTATCCATCTTTCAGATCCAGCGTCGGATTCAGCGTCGGATTCAATCAACAACAAAAATAGAAGCGACCATAAGACAGGATCATCGCATTATCCTCTCTCATCCTCCCCATCATCTTCTCCTTGCTGGATGTCCTTGGCCTCCAAAAGTACAAACCAACTTCCTTCCAAGACAATTGTGGATCAAATGGGAGGACCTAATACAGGTACTGCGGCCGAATTACATCATGAAAATCATCACGATAAACCCTCTGTTCTACCAGAGATTCTCCCAGGGTTCATGGGTAGGATGGCAGACATTCATCATGCGTCGTTCAAGAGCGTCGATGACCATAATGATAATGGCTCTTCTGGACAAGCTCACCATAGCACCGATGACAACAGCAACAACCATGGCAGTAACGATCATAGTAATCATAAGGCTGAAGGAAAATGGACTGGAGGCACCATGTTCCCCACCATGACAGGACCCAAGAACCCATTTAGCAATAATCACAACAGCGCTAACGACAACCACCACCAAGGCAAAGCAAACCGCCATCGCTGCCAGTCACCAACCGAAGAGGCCAATAGAAGACTAGCAAAAAATTCCATTCTCTATGAGTCTTCAGACTTACCCGAGTCGACAACCAAGCTTACAGATGAAGATAATTCAGATCTTGTTGCTGCTCATAACCCGCCTCACCATTCTTACCACCCATACCGACGACGTTCCTCAGATTTTGTCACAGGCTCTTCTGGCCCCTCTACCGCTTCGCCTCCAGTTTCCAAAACTCTTGTCCAAGGTGGCCAAGGTGGCCGTCGCTGGTCTCATGAGCTTTCCCCTGAGAAGGCTGGTTTAGTTGGATCTGTGGTCGAAGCCGCTGGACTCATCAAGGATGTGATTCTCGACAAGATCCAACAGCGTCCTCCTTCCGCCGGTTCGCAACGTCAACACCAACATCCAATTCATGGTGATCTCTCTACGGATGAGAAATTAGCAGCAGCCAAGATTGCCTTTGGTGGCGCTGAGGAGGCTGGTGATCAAAACATCTTTCTCGAGGGGCTTAGTGAGCACTTGCGTCATGAACAAGCTCAAAAAGCTGCTCTTGCTGAAGCAGAGGCTGTAGCAGAAGCAGCAGCATCGGACCCTACATCTTCCAAGTCATCTTCAACAATACCAACAATGACAACAAGAACAACGACCGAAGACATCTTGGGAGCTGCTCCGGATATGGCAAATAAACATAAAAAATCTATTTTCCATATGGCGGCGAATCCAGAGACCAGGAAGAGTCTAATCTTTGAACATCCCGAGTCTCTAGGATACCATGCTCGTGATGTTAACAACTTGCCTCCTATTGAGGAGTCATCCAAATTGCATTATCTCACTAGCAACAAAGCCGTCGGTGGACAGCAAGATTTGTCAAAATCGAGTCGTTAGAACTAGAGATTTTATTCACACGACAATCACAGCACCCTTCCCCTTTGAACATTGAAGGAGAGAGAAAGAAAAAGAAAAAGAAAAAAAAAAAAAAAAAGATTGCTAGGTTTCAAAAAGAGGATGTAGTGCGAGGGATAAAGGGCTCTTCCTATGACCAACTTCTTTTAAATGCTATTTTCATTCGCTTTTTATTGAGCTTACTCAACATAAAATCATTAAAAAAAATAAATAAAAAAATAAAAAAACGCTATTTATTTCTCAAAGATCTACTGGTAGAGTAGGCTTGAAGACATTGATTGACATGATTTACAACAGTAATAACTATATACTATGTGCTATATGCTACGATACTTGCTTTATGCTTTTTTTTTTTTAGACCTTATCCTGGTCTTTAATCTCGGACCGCAAGTGAGCAACCTCTCTGTTCAAGATTCTAGCCTGCGCATCGGCTCTCTTAGTCAAACTTTCTACTAGGGCTTTGTTCTCGGGCAAGAGTTTGCTCTCATCAATATTAGATCCTACTTCTTGCATGGTTCTCAGGACGGTTGCCAATTGGTTAGGCAACCATGTCACGATAGGAGATCCACCGGTTGCGACAGGGTGCTTTGTATACTTGATAATATACTCCTTTGTGAAGTTCCAATGGCGGTTTCTGAAGTTGCGAATTTGATCCACAGCGGCCAAGTAAATCGCTGCGGAATTGGCATCTTGTTCAGCAAACGAGCGCACCTGAGCCTGACGAGCCTTTTCTTCCACAAACTGCAAGAATTCTGCATGATTGTGGGGTCGATAGGTTCGGAAATCCTTCAAGACCGCGGTGAGGGGGTTGGAGGGCATCATTTCCGTCAACTGAAGCAGGTTATCGCCCATAGGGACCATGGAGTCATTCGCTCCAGATTCCCCGCGATGAAACATGGGTTGATCTGAAACTCCTTCATAGATGACTCCATTCGGGAACATGGGCTGATTCTTTGTACCCATGATAAATGTACGGAACTTGAGGTAATCAGCTGGCAAGGAACGTTCCCACATTGTGTCCATCTCCATATTGATCTTCTCATAGGTCGAAACCACCTTTGAGAGTGCATCGTTGAACACTGGACGGTTAAGCTTGCCAGCAGCCTCCAACGTACGCATTGTGTTCTTGACTAACTCTCCGGAGTGAGCGACCATGGTCACATGTGAAATAATGAAACCCAGCTCGGATGGATCTCCAGAGAAAGGGCGGATCAGCTCTAGGTTACCCCAGACCAGACCTTTGGTCTTGTCAATTCTTCGGTAGTTGTATAAACTAACGACATGGATTTTTTTAGATTGATGCAATTTTTTAGCTTTGCCTTCCTTCGTTGTGGAAAATATAAAAGAATGATCCATAAACATGGAAAAATGATAGAAGGAAAAAAAAAAAAAAAAAAAAAAAAAAAAAAAACTTACGCGTAAGAAAGAGCGTATTCCATGAAGGGCTTGGCGCCGATTTTCTCGGCCACCTGGACCAAAGGTACTGCAATGTTCTTTGGCAAGACAGATCGTCCAAGACCATACTCCCCTGTCTTGCGGAAGAGAAGATCACATGGCTCAAGTAGGTAGGCAGATGCTACAAAAGTGTAGTCTCGGTAAAGAGCTGCAAAAGATTGAAAAAAAAAAAAAAAAAAAAAAAAAAGTTGACCAAAATAGGAAAATAGTGATCAAACATGACGATGATGATATGATGATCATTTGTGATAACACATTCCCCAAAAATGAAAAAGTTCAAGAATTAAAAATTAAAGGACATTAGTGTTAGTCAAAACCTGTTCAATAACTATAATTTAGCCCAAAAATTTGTGGGGTCAAAGAAAAAGTCACTAAACAAAAATGTACAAAAAAAAAAAAAAAAACTACAGACGTACCGGAGAGCAACTCCGAATCCTCAACATTCGACAGATCGTACTGGGGGAGGTTCTTGCAAGCATCTCCAAACTTTCCCAGTGCTAAAAGGCCCTTGGACCCATCCCTGAGTGTCAAAGGCATCTTTTGCAAGAGGTCCTCAAGCTCTTGATATTCTTTGGGAAGAACATCCAAGGGATCTTGACGGGGTAGGAACCCATTCTGAGTTCCGACCATGAAGCTGGGGATTGAATGGTTATGGGTCAAAGGGTCGTCTAGGATGGGAAATCCAGGCACCTCACGAGCCATCGCATTTATTTCGGATGTGTGAAACTGACGGTACTTGGGTTGACTAGTGGTGTTGGAAGCAGAATTGTTTGAGGAGGGAGACGCAGATGGGGCGGATGGGGTCGAATATTCGCGGATAGCCTGAGCCTGCAGGCGGATAGAGTGCGAGATGGCGGCGATAGCAGTGGTCGTTGTCCGTGCAGGCGCGTGCTTTAGGCCAGCATTCTTTATCAAGGAACCAGCTTGGCGGTGAAGAGATTGACGCAACATCGTGAGTAAAGTAAGTTTTTTAAACGTGGTAGCTCGAGAAGCAGTAATAGTTGGCCTTCTTGTGGAGTTTATCAGCAGAGCGTGGCAAGCAGGTAGATTGTGGAAAAAAGAAAAAAGAATAGACAATAGAAGATGAGGCTTGATCAGGAAATGTAAGGGTTTAGAGCGTGAAAAGAAAGAAAGAGAACAATAAAGAGGAAATGAGAATGAAAAAAAAAAAAAAAAAAAAAAAAAAGAAAGAAAAAGAAAAGCGACGGGAGTTGAAGGTGTCTTTATATAGCTGCGATTAACAGAAATGTATGAAGTAATAGATGTAAAGAAGGCACATTGCAAATGCAGTATGGGAGTGTGAATGGGAGGTTCAAGTATCAATAGGCTTGTACTGGGGCTGCTATTTGGCCGGTTTGAAAATAAACGTGTGAATAAGAATAAAGAAAAGGTTAAGCATACTGATATGTGTATGTACCCAATCAAGCCAATCCAAGTTGTGCCACTGAACAGCTGGTGGAGCGAACGCTAGATTATAAATGTAATACATCAACAACGGTAGTATCATCTATTTAGATATATATCAGTAATCAATACTTTAGTTTTTTTTTCTTTTTTTCTTTTTGAAAAAGAAAATATCTGTCCATGGTCCCAGACTAAAAAGAAAGGGAAAGTCGTTTTTTCTTGTGTATCCTTGCGCGAATATTGCTAGTGCAGATACTTTCAGACAGAGGTTAGACGCTCTTCAATTATGATGTTGCATTGTTTCCTTGTCAAGCATCGGTCCAAAACAAAAGAAATGCAGATAGTTAATAGGCACAAAGTATATGTACATTCACTGGGGAGGCCAAACAAAGAGGGCACTATTGACCTTAGAAAAGGTATTGGTTGCATTGGGCGTATTTAGTCACACTTGCATTTACGACTCCTCAAAAGAAACAGCTGGTTACACAAAAGAAATGAGTCGTCTTTTGTCTTAGCAATTGAATTGAATTGAATATTACAGTCCGTAATATGTGAAAAACGCGTTGGGCACACGATGGTTACACAAAAGAAACGAGTCGTCTTGGCTGATATACAAAAAAAATTTCTTTTTTTAAAATTCACATTGTCGGTCCAAAAAGGATTAGAGAAACAAGGGGAGGACAAAAAAAATAGACTTGGTCAAAGAATGAAAACTTTTCCACGACCTTTGGAGAAGGCGACCTGAGCATGTGTATACCGTATGACCTTCTGTTGGTAAAAACCAAAGTTTACATGGATATAGTAATTACACGTAGTGTATAATGTAATGTAGTAGAAACAATAGTATGAAGGTATCCCTTCTCTATCTACTAACCCTCTCAGTCATTCCCACATTAACGCCTCTCTTTCTTTATTCTTACTTGCTTTTAGGATATAGCCTTTTCCAGCCTTCAAGAAGCTGCTCAACAAGCTGTGTGGTCAATTAATAGTGGGTTCATGAAGAGTCTGAACGCTAAAATTCAATGATAACCCCTTATTCTCCTATTTTTCTTGTATAATTTTTTTGCTGAAGAGGAAAGTTTCAATAAAATAGTCTGTACATGTACATGACGCAAAAAAAAAATAAAAAAAAATGGATCTATAACGGAAAAAAGGCTTTTGACTTGTTTCCCCCAGTGACATGACACAAACTGCCCCTCTTTTTCCAAATGATAGACAGCTTTCCACCAAGACTCAACGCCCTGCACACCTTACAATGGATGCCCCCCAATATCAAGTAGGCTCTTTAAGGTGGAGAGAAAAAAAAAGGAATCTGGAAGCAACTGCATGTTCACCCTGAATATTGAAAATTCCAAAATAAAATGATTTCGGATTTTTTGGATGTTTGGTTTTTTTTTTTTTTTTTTTTTTTTTTCAAGGGTAAAATTTCGGACTTTGAGAGAGATGCTGTGCAGAAGAAAAGGTTTAGGCATTCAGATATTCGAGATAGACGAGTTGGAGCTCAAGCATACACAGCTCAATCGTACAAAGAATACTGACTTAAAACACATAATACGTGGAAGAATGTATGCGACCACCTTTTTTCTTTCTCATAGAAATTAAAAAAAAAAAACAATAAGAGAAAACCAAACATTGCGCCTCAAATTTGTCTCTCAAAGCGTGTCCTATCTTTAGTTAATCTTTTAGATTTGCTGTGAGTGTTTGGCGGCGCTTTTTTTCCCGAGCCTTCATAATAACAAGCACACAGCAATAAAGATCTTTTTTTTACTACCATATTTTATTATCTTTTGAGTAGAACCTTTTGTTGTTATTTCTCTTAGAATCTACGCTAATTAAAAGGGAAAGTCGTATATTTCCTTGAAGAATTAATTAATAAGAAGTCAACTCGCCACTAAAAAAAAAAGGGGAAGAGAAAAGAGCATTTGTAATAATGCCTTTAATTCCTCCCAATGTTTACGTCATAGTACGCAAACTTAGCATAAGCTATCAGTAGCCGGAAGAGGAAGTTCGGTGCCGTCCCGAATATGTCGAAAGGTGATCAGCCAGCAAGCATTCCATCATTTTCACTCCATTAAAAAAAAAAAAAAAGATCTATTCAAACATGTCTTTCCTTAGTAGGGCGGGCATTGCTGCCACTCGTTCAACTCGTGTTGTTCAAAAGAGATTTGGCTCCCATGCTGCTCACCACGGCCCCGAGGCCCCTCCTACCAGCGAAGGTAATAAGCGAGGGACAAGTGGAATCACCAACGACAACTATATCAATCAAGCAATCAAGCAATCAAGCGACAATTTGCCAATGATCAGTGTTCAAACTCAAACATCGTCACTATCATGGAGCATGACAATCGTCAATGCGATTAATTATTATTTCAAGTCCAAGCATCTTCAAACGAGGATATTAAGGAAAAGAGAAAAAGGAAAAAAAAAAAAAAAAAAAAAAAAAAAAACAACAACTAAAGTCGATTTGCGTTTCCAATTGATGACAACTTAGCCTTCACCTCTAACGGATTCAAGCTCGCTTTGATCACTGCTGTTGGTTTGCTCGTCTGGTCTCGCGTCGACGAACACCTTACTAGCCAGGGCGAGGTAATTTATTTACTTATTGTCAATATCTACTTTTGAAAGGAAATTATAGTATATTATCTTTTGCAAAAAGGCGAGCATGGAACAGGCAAAGAATCACGCTTTAACATCATGGAGGGAGGAAGGAAAAAAAACAAAGAAGGACCAGTGTCAATAAGAGCGATTACATACAATTAATATACATTTCTTGGAAACGGATCGTCAATGGGTAGAAGGAAAAGAAGGAAAAAAGACTTTTAGCAATCGATGTCGTCTCTTTTTTACTTTTTAATGAAACCTTGGATGTCAGCGATAATGGATATATGCAATGGTTGCATTGATGGCATGCCATACAAAGAGTTATGATTACGATGATTATACTTCAGTTTCAATACTGATAATTTTACGCTTCTTTTTTTTTTCTAAATAATTTATCCGTTTTGTAGGAAAAACATCCTTTAACCCGCTATATTGAGTACTACATGCGCTCTGAGGAAGAATCCAACCGCATCAATGAGAAGCACATCAAACTTGCACAGGAAGCTGCTGAAGACCTGTAAATAATCTTTTTTTTTTTTTTTTTTTTTTTTTAAGAAAAAGGAAGAGCATTCCTCATGTATTGAAAGCTTACGTATTTATCGTCCTCACTCTTTTCTCTATATTTTAGTAAATTCTATGCTACTATCACGCCTCCTCCCAAGGTTCCGCTCCGTTACCCTGAGTACGTTATCCTAATTTAACTAATCTTTTTCTTCGTCCTCCTAGTTCTTGTTTAATTTTCCGAAAAACAGGCACTTCTTAATATTTATACTCTATTGTCTTCCCATGAAATCATTTTATAGTCTGCTGCACAATGCCTCAGGCAGATGTATCGAGGTTGGCTCCACGGTTGATACCAATGTCACTCCCAAGTTTTCCTAAAGCTCTCCGCGGCTGCCCTTGCACCTCCTCTCTCCACTTACTCTCTTTGTCTTCCTCTCGTTGATGTGAAATGACAAACCAATAGTTTAGACCGCAGAAAAAAATAAAAACCCAATATACAGGTTATGGAACGCGTCCACACGTGTTCATTCTTAATCATTATATTTAAATGGGAAAATATCGTCGCGAGAAGGTAGAAATAGCAATAGTATATATATAAGAGTAACTATATTAAGAGAGCCTGATGAGAGATGCTTTTCTTTGAAGCGTTGTCATCATTTCGGAAGGAATTTGAACGCCACCACCCTCCCAGTTGCCATCGAATATCGTCCCACCGAGCCGCAGCCAGTGCAGTGGAGAGGGTGAAGTCCCTGGCTCCGGAATAAGATTAATCAGTAACTGGAGTTGGACCAAATCAAAATTGGTCTCATAGAAACCCAAGTCTTGTAGTGATGAAAAGTCTATAGCTTTAAGAATAACCTCCCATTGCTGAGGTCGGAAGTGGATACCTCCTATCCAGATCCGTTCTAATGCCGTCCAGGTTCTCGCTGTTGTTGTATAGGGAATTGTAGGCTCGACGGATCTCGAAAACCGCTGCTGTTGTTGTCCTGAATTTGTGCCCGGGATGACCGTAGATGGCTTTGAGACTATATTGGCGATCCATTCGACAATATTCTGTGGCGGCTCTTGCAGCCCATGAGCACAAATTGATAGTGAGTCCAGTAAAGGCAATTCATACCGTGTTGGAGCGGCTCGAGCGACCTTAGGAAGCCATTCCTCAGGGAAAGTGGAGCCTAGAACCAATTTGTGCACTCGTTTGCCTACCCGAAGTAATAATCTCTCCATCAGTCCTTTTTGATTAGCCTCATGAAGCTTATAAAACTCAAGAGTGAATCTTTCTAGTTCAGTTGAACGTTCCAGAACCCGTTCTATCCATTCATAACTGTCACTGCTGTTGTCTTTTCCTACTGATCGTATGCATGTCAATGTGCGAAGTTTTGAACCCCGATCCTTGGTCACTTCATCTAGGAGCATGGCATGATCATATGTGAACTTGTCATCTACTAGCAAGTCTCTAATAACTGAGCCATATTCTCGCAAAACTTGGGATAAGGCACTGGAAGGGGGACTCGGACCAGAGAACTCGCTGGTATCCAGACTGTTTACTGAGATTCTAGGCAATGGGGTGTCAACGGACTTAGGACAATATAGGCTTAATGGAAAGGATAGTGAGACTAACGTTGTCATGTGTAAGTTGAATTGGAGTCGGTGTAGCGCGAAGGTGCCTTCGTTTTGGGAGATGATTTTCACTCTGACAGAAGTAATCATATCAATATATATAGGAAGATGATTATCGTGACAGCAGATCTCAATCTCAGACAACTTGGGGCTCAAGAGTAAAAACCGGGTCCACGATTGTTCGTCCATGACTGGGGTATCTCGCTCGTGGTTAAGGATGAGTTTGGTGACAAGTGTCCGCCGTTGTAACAGTGCTTGTTCTTGTGAGACGATCTTAATAAAAGGTGCAATTGCTCTCATAGTACCTTCTTGAATAGCACCTTGAAAGAGCCTGAAGACCATCGTAAAGTTTTCTGTAACGAGCTTGAGTTGATTTAATGCTGCTGTTGATGTAACAAAACTGTGATTATCTTGGTTGTTGTTGCCAATCTGGCTCATGATAAAGTCAAGCGTAGGGCACAGTTGATCGCACCAAAGCGTAAGCCTTGCAAGAGAAGGACAGGCCCTCAGTATTCGCGTCATGATTGATACATGGGTCCTATCCGCGACATTGAATAGAAAGCGTAGTGTAAGGGAGCGTAGTTGAGGGGCCAATTCTGCTGAATGGCGAAAATATCGTTGTGGCGACTTTGCTGAGACATGGGCAAAAAAATCCTGAAACCCATCCAAGTGTAAAGACTGGACCGTTTGATTTTTGAAAAGAAGCTGCACGACCGGGTTGAACCGACGGAACCGGTTGAGAATATCGAGTAGAGATCCAGTTCTTGTGAACAGGTGACCAGCCATCGAGAAATGGACGACATTGCTCTCGGTAACTGCTGAAGCCAACTTCCGGATATCCCTCCATGATACGTCCCAAGCCAGGACAATATTTAACTGTTGCACGATCTGCGTCTTTTTCAGCACATCGTACAGCTGTTCAGCCTGAGTCCTGTTCATAAGTACTACCATTAGCTGGGACCGCTCTCCTTGATACAATCTTTTATTACACCGCTCGATCATGTTCAAAAGCTCATGTTCCGCCGCAGGTCTAAAGCTCGCACGAAGATGGTCAATACAGACCCATCTAGTCTTTTTACCATCTTGGATGGTCATCCGATACAAGTTGCCAGGCGTGCATTCATCATCCTCGATAGAGAGATACGACTCAAGTTGGCGTAAATCAGCGCCCTCCAGCAGTGGTGTTTTGGTTAATTTTTCCAGACTGCTTTTGCTTTTGTTTCTACTTTTGATTGTAAGAAAGGCCGTATCATCATCGCTATTGTCAACATCAATCCCATTACTGCAGTCACTGTAACCCCATTTGCTATTGAGATTGGTCGTTATTTGTTGATTGTGAATAAAGTTGATAGTCTCATCAACAAGAGAACTGAAGCTATTCTTGGCAAGATCAAGACCACTCTCCAAAGAACTGATTTCTCTTGTTAGCTGATTTTGACTCTGTGATAATGGCCGTATTGTCATTCCATCGGCCGAGAACCCCTGCTTGATCATCTCCATTATCGCCAAGGCGTATCTTCCATATCGTTCAAAAAACTCACTGGGCTTAATAATACTATATCCTTTATGCTTTGCAAGGTGGATCTCATGTTGAATCGTTGTTATCATTCCGTTCGTAGTTTCTTTTTCGATAATGGGATTGGTAGATGTATGTCGTCCGCATTCGCACAAGAAGAACAATCGAAACTGACGACTTAGTAGGGGTTGATCAGCAGTAGCGCTTTGAGAATGAGTCCTTTGAGGCAAGACGATGAACAAGTGCGGAATAGGAAACTCATTCAGTTCGTAGGGCTGCGACACTATAGCATGGATGTGATCCTGTGTGATGATGGCAGGGGCCAGAGTGTTTTTTTCTTGCATTATATCCAGAATAGACCGATCTCTTATTGGTTTGAAATATAGTGGAGTGGTATTGAGGAGTTTTTTAAGAAAAAAGAGAAATGATAAGGATACAGAAAGAAAGCCATCATTTATAGCTACATGGTAAAGTATGCACTAAACGAAAATATCCTAAAAAAGATACTTTCATACAAGTACTGAATTCCGGACCTACAACTACTATGCAAGTTGCAGTTTGTCCAACCCATTTGGTCGGCGATTCTTATATTTTTTGAATAAGCTTGAATGTATTGAGAGCCAATTATTTCCCCTTGTTACAAGCTCGTTGCGGGTAGTGAAATATCAAAATCAGCCACCAAAACAATTTAACCACTTTTTGAATAGAAAATGTAAGAATCACTGACCAAACGAGATGGAGTAAACTTATCGCGCTGGAGAGAGCAGATTAAAAAATCAAGTACTTTTATTTTATTGCATAAGCAACAAACAAATTGCTCAGCCCATGTTCTTTTGCCTTTGTGGCGGTGCTAAAAAAAAAAAAAAAAAGATTCCTCGCGCGTATAATCTTTTTGGATTGTGGATCGCCACATACGCATAATGCCCTTAAGCAATCTTTTACAGTCAAAAAAGCTTCAATATACCGTGTATTCACGAGAAATTCCGGCGAGAATAGCAATTTTCCCCGCCGAAGGGGTGTTATTTTAATAGAGACAACCGATTTTATAGTATTAAAATGTGCGGAAACCTGTTGTTGTGATGCTGACAGGGAAATGCGATGGATTTTTAAAAGACAGCACAGCTTAGCGTCAGAAACGCTGCATCTGACAAAATAGTCGTTAGTCTAACAGCTGCAGTGCTGCGCTAATTGCCATAATGGACAATGGGACACCATTACATGTTTTTGGAATATGTAATAAAAGCCAAAAAAGAAATAATAGACTACTAGATCTTTATCAGAGCTATGGTACAAAAAAGTTGTTCGAGATATTTTACAGGAAGATGAAAGGGAATCGGAACAAAAAGTACTCTTTTTTTTTTTTTTTTTTTTTTGGAACTTTCTAATTGACTCTATCGTTTACGAAAGAAATATGAATAGCCTTGATGGCATCGATGGAGCCGATGATGGCGCTGATGATACCGACGAGAACAATGAAAGCGCACCAAGCCAACTCATACCATTTGAAGTGTCTCCACCCAATCAGCTTGAAGTAGCAGATAATGGGAAGAACAAAGATCAAGGTACAGTTGCCGAGAGCACCCAAGAGTGACAAAAAGTTGCCAAAGTAAGGAACAGTGCAAGCGATAGCACCACAGACACCGATGATCGTCAACCGAATTACAGTGCGGTAGACGCGCTCCATGATCTTACCACGACGTGCGACAGTGACGTCGACAAGACGCTCAAACTCAAGAGCAAAGGAGGTCAGAAGAATAGGAGCAGCAAGAATAACGTGGATAATGATGACCACAATACCGATCTTAGTAGTGGTATCCCGAGGCAAGTTGCCCAGGATGGGTGACTCGACCTTGTGACCATAGGTGAGGTAGCCAGGGATGGCAGTAGCAAGGTAGAAGATTGCACAAGTGGACAAAGCAGCAGCAACAACGCGGTTCCAGCTCTTAGGATAGCGCATAGCCTCCTCAACGTGCATGTAGACGACATTGCCTCCATAGCAGATCGAGATCGAGGCAATAGTAGTAGGTAGATTTATAGGAACAACGGTATCATGCCTAACATCAGCATATTCAGGGTTGCTGAGATCCATAACCGAACCACGAACAGCAATAGCGACAAGAACAACAGTAGCAAGGACTCCAAAGATAGACATGATAGCAACCTCCTTCAAAGTCTTCAAGGCTACGAAGGGAACAGCAATAATGCCAGCACAAATCCAGATCCAAGCTTTAACGCTGATATCAGTGCTAGTGACGAGTCCCTTCATCTCTGTACCGGCTAAGATGAGGTACATAATAGGACCGCCAAGGACGATTGAGGTATGGAAGAACCAGACGGCAATGAGACCAGGACGACCGAAGGCGTGACGTCCGATCTCCTGATACGAGTGAAGACGGTACTTGCCATTATAGTAGAGGCACTTCATGAGAAGCATAGCGGTGTAAATGGACATAATCGTGGTGAGCAACAAAACACCAACACCAATCCAGCCACCCATCTTTAGAGCATAAGGAAGACCAAGAATCCCAGTGCCTGAAATGAAACGAATGAACAAATACTATGTTTTAGAAATATGATATTGCACAAGCTGAAGTAGCTGTGCATTTTTGGACAGATGATGTTTACCTGCGACAACGCAGACAACATTAGCGTAGGCGAGGATGTTGGATCCCTGTTCAGGCCTCTCAGCCAGGAGATCGATTTCAATTGATTCTTTGTCGCTTCTGATGCTCGCCACCTCGGAATCTGAGACTTCATGCTTTTTCATGGCTGTTAAATGAAAGTGGAGACTCCGTGAATCAAACAGGTGTTGAATCAAACAGGAAAGAAGGATATTCAGATTAAGCCCGGAACGAGCTATCGAGGAGGGGAAAGAGAGAAGAGAAGAGAGAGGAGAGGAGAGAGAAAAGAGGAAAGAGGAAAGAGGGAAGAGGGAAGAGGGAAGAGGGAAGAGGGAAGAGGGAAGAGGGAAGAGGGAAGAGGGAAGAAGGAAGAAGGAAGAGAGAAGAGGAGTGGAGGAAAGGCGATGAGATGGATCGGTGGATGAAGAAAAGTAAATAAAGAGCTGGGGTAGCCTGTGCGTTTTATACGAAGGTGTACCTGGTCTTGAGGGAACAGATCACACACAAAAAAGCTAAAGCTGTAGTACATGTACATTTACATGTTCTTATTGCATTGATTGGCAGAGACTCACTCAGTTTGGTTTATTTGTCTTTTCGTCAAATGACGTTGGTGTCCCTCACAGAATCATCGTAGATCTGTTGTTGCAATCTGTCCTATTGCAATTGACCTGAAGCAACTTACTCAGTCTTCAATCATTAGAACTTCAGAACTTTTTAAGACTAAAAAAACACTATTGAGACAAGTGCGTAAAATGTAAGTAGCTGAAAAAGTGCTGTTTCTCTTGTTCATAGTTATGAGTGGTCAAGTGAGAGAAGGGGCTGAACGGCCAATAAGGCTACAGGGTAAATGTGTATCCACACTCCGCTTTTGACATTCCAGCTATCATACATAAAATAAAATATTCACTCACATGGTTGTAAACGAGTGCTCGGGCCAATTCCCAAAGCCACCAGTACAAAGAATCAATGAGTGAGATCACCGTGGTTTGAGAGCCAAAAGTCAGGCATATCAAGTACATGTACGTTAGGCAACCTTTAGTTGCGGAGAAATAATCTTTTTAATCGTCATGCCAAGTCTACTTGGGTAGTCTTTCTTTGAATAAGTAGACACCTAGAACTACTGAACTATCTAATAGACAGGATAGGATCAGTGATAGCTTGCGCTTCAGCTCATAATTTCTTACTCTTACTGCCTTTGGGCGAACGTTCTGGTCAATCTCGTGATTTGGATCGGATAAAGCGAATTGTTGGTGCTGAGCCACCAAAGGTGTTCTTTGTCTTTCTCTGCAAACACTATTTCTCACACTTTTTTCTTTCTCTTACAGTCAAAAGTCCCTTCACGTCTTCTCGTTTACACAACACACAACACACAGCACATAACACGCGTATATATTCACTCAGTTCACGTATCAAATCTGCATCTATTGTTATCTTTATTATCTCGCGTATTCCTTTGTACTCACAGTGATGTCCCTTTTACGTATCGCCGCAGCGCGTTCTCTCCGCCTTGTTCAGCCCCATCATCGAGCTACACCTATTACAGCAGCCACGCCTCAGTGGCATAGAGCCTTTTCAAGGTAAGGACTTAATTTACGATCTTTGAAGGAAAAAAATGCTTCATGACATTTAATAAAAATCTAATAAACTTTTTCTTTTTCTTTTATCTCGCTCTCACTTCTATTTGATCATATCGCTTACTTAGCACTCCACAAAGTAGGTACCATCGCTCCAGGAGGCTCTTTATTGAATATTCTAACGCAAGCGCAATGTTTACAATCCTCTTTTGTCCGAATGTGTGACATCATGCATGTGTTTTAAATAGAAAATGACTGCTTTTTTTTTTTTTTTTTTTTTTTTTTTAAAAAAAGTTTTCCGTAAGGATCCTATCAAGAGTGCCCCAGGATGGGCTCCAGAAAATGCCACGGAAAGCGAGGCTGAAGTCAAAGCTGATCGTGAACCCATTCCAAAGGACTTGTTGGAATTTCAGAAAGAGACTATTGAAATTATTGTCGAAAATGACAAAGGTATTATATACCCCAAAAGTTTATTATATGGCTGCTGCAAATGAAATAATAATAAAGATGGGAAAAGTAATCCTTTGTAAACCCATATCTCTAGATGGCGCCAGCGAGATTAAGCAAATCGCAGATGACTTCTTCAAGAGGTTGGAAAAGCTTGGAGAGAAAATTGGAGTAAAGTTGGAGGTTAAGGACAAGACCTCTAGAGAACTAGGTGAGATGATTGAGAAATTGGAAGTGAAGCTTAAACTCAAGAGGGTTGACACAAGCAGCAACCATCATATCACCGACGATGATCTGCATAGAAGGCTTGAGAAGCTTGAAGAAGAGCTTAGTCAGAAACTCGGTAAGGATATGAATGGCAAGAGTGAGGTAATTATTGAGAAGTTGGCCTACCGTGCGGAAGAGGCTGGGGCAGCTCTTGGAAATGTCGCTGGAACTGTTAAAGGACGTGTCGATCGGGCTGAGGATCGCATCGAAGACGCAGGGGAGTCTGTAGTAGATGGAGTAAAGGCTGGCGCACACAAGGTGTCAAACTTTGTGAAGGAGTCATTGGATTCTGTCAAGAAGACCGTGGGTATCAATGGGCAGAACACAGCAGAGAAGATCAAGAAAAAGAGCAAGGATGTGGATGACAGGGTCGACAGTGACCGCGGGGCTTGAAAAGCGTTATCGCTCTTGATGTATTAGTGGTCCAGCCATAGTAGGCTATTAAGGCACTGTAAAACGTAGCATGGATTAGCAACAATAATTGAAAAACATAGTTTTATTCTAGCTTTATTCTAGCTTGACGTTGGCGTCGATTAATAAAGTTTTATGAATTTAACATATACGTAAGAGCCATATATTTTAGCTCTACTGGAGGTGGGATCCAAGGTCACGAATTTGAGAAGCACCAATAACCCAACTCTTTGAGCATAAAATGTATACATGTTCATGGTGTAAACCACTTACATTATATTTAAGCTTTCAGTTGTGTCCAGAGAAAGCCTCAAGGCTCCGCGACTTTACTATCTGCCATTAGCCACTCTTCATAGCTCATAAACCTTCTTTCAATTACATACCTTGAAGAGTGGCAAGTGCATTTGGCATTGATCTAAGTCGTTTGATCAAGCTAATGTGCAGCTCATCCGCTCATATTCATGCATTCAGCCTACTTTGATACATTTCAGCTTATAACGCGTATGTGCCAGGCAGGTAACAGAAATGTATCTGGAATTGTCTTTTTCTGTCTATAAAAATTTGACCATAGCAAAAAGCAGCTCTACAAGCTCTAACCGTATCTCGAATAGATCTGATGGTTAACATCTCGAAGCATTTGATATTATCTTATCATAGGGCCTGTCTACTCCCCATTCAAATCCAGCAATGAAAGAAATAAAGATAGACAATTTATGCAAAAACACAGGCAGGATGTGATGATATAGACGATTGTCCAGGCTCAATATGTAACCGTATAAACATTTATTGACTACCCTGCACTTTCCCCAAGGGATATATCAATACTTTGACAAACATGTTTCCTTTAATGACTATGTCTCAGCCCTTGGATCGAAAGAGCGTTGAAAAACGGGACACTGTGTGTATTTACTGATAACTGACGTGACTTCAAAAAGCTTTGCTCGGGGAACAAACTCTGCATTTTCCAGTGGCGACTGTTCGATGCTTGTTGGTTTTCCAAATCTGCTCTGATTTCACCATAATTTAGCGGAATTGATTAGCATCTCCTGAATAGCTGCCATCCAAAGGGACTAACTTCGAATGGACAGGATTTACTGTGTTTGTTCAAAACAATAAAGCTTGACTGAAAGTCTGCTAATCCTCAAACTATGAGGCAAATAATGCCTCTGAACGCTTCAATAGGATTATGGCGAGCTTTTGGGGTGCAGAAAAGACAAGATTGTCTCTTTTGAGCAATGAAGGATATAGGACTTGTTCCTTGGAGGCACACTTTTTTGAAACCACGCTTGTTGCTAGTAAAAACACAAATGGTTCCCGTTTTCCGCATACTTTCAGCGCTTCCACAATCCAAGGGCTGTGATGTAGCCATTAAATGTTACATGTTTGTCGAAGTATTGACACATCCCTTGCAAAAGTTCAGATGTATGCTAAGAATATTGTTTAAGGGACGTAGAGTAGTCAATAGCATGTGGCAGTGTTCAGGTGTTTATACAGTATCAAATGGAGTCCGAACAGTCGCCATAGCAAGATGTTGTCTTAGGAGAATCTTTTCGTTGATATCCGATTCCCTGACGAGGATATTGCGAGTTAAACTCTCGGCTATAGCTCTGTAGTGTTGCTGTTCCATTTCGACTCACTTGAAGTTAGCCATTCTCGTTATACCTTCTCTTGCATATATCGCATTGCCCAGATTGAGCTCGTCGCAGCTTGTAGGTCCCACACTGGCCATCATAGTGTATTCTGTACAGATTCGTATGCTTGTGCTGCGTAAATATTCTATGTACAACAATGAAAATGATAGGCATGGGCAACTGGCAAGGTAATATCATGACTCTAGATGCATATCCAAGTGCTGATGAAATCAACCGTATGTGGTTACGCTAGCGCCTTGAGATCCTGTTGGTACCTGAGGCTTTGTCCACTTTGGGCTGAACATCGGTGATGAAAAACTCTGCATCCATATTGGTGCCATGGGGCACGGATGAAACGCCTGATCGTGCCATTGCGTTTGCAGCTTCCCAGACACCGGATCCCCCTACTCTTGCTATGTACGCCCATGTCAATGTAGTCGCCTAGACTGTCCTTATATTGCTCTTGCTTAACCCTTGCAACCTTGAAGTCCCACATGAATTTAGGCACATGCTGGTTGTTGTTCTTAAAGATAGGTTGATATTCTATAACAATGTGTAGTGACGCCTTAGACTTGGGTGATGAACTTGCACAATTACAATCTACAACATCCTGCCTAAGTTCAATCGTTCGATCTTATCCTTTCAAAAATCTACTCTTCTTATTAAGAGGAGAAGAGGAAAACCCAATAGACCCTAAGTCATCCTCACTAGGACACTTTCTCTTTTGTGACCCTCGTGAAGAGCCTAGTGCATTAGTCTGACAAGACTCTTCAGTAGAAGAACTAATGGCACGTGAATATGATTCCGGCTCTGGAGATAAGGAGTCAGGCACTCTTATTCTGGCTCTTGATACGTTCCCCTGAAAGATGAGTCCAGTGGGTCGAGCTTTGATATTAGGAGACAGTGATAAAAGAAGACGGTTATTTCTTCGAGTAGGCCTTGCCTCTCGAGCTTCTAACTCAGACTGTTGACGTATCGCTGACTTAGTGGTACGTGAACAAACAGAAGTGTTGTTGGTATTTGACGACATATTGATGTTGCTTTATTGATGTCAACGGGTGCAGTTTGAACGTATAAAAAAAAAAAAAAAAAAAGAAGACTTGATAGTGGTCGTAGTTTAGGAATGAGGAATGGAGAAGCGAGAATGCCTCAAAACGATTCTTCAAGAATGACATTCCCCATTGACATCCCCATCTAATCCGCATTCACCATGCATGGCATGACCATCAACCAATCACTGATCTTGATTTTGCCAATGTTACTAAGCGTCACACCCTCACAAAACAATTCAAAATGTTTATTTTGGACCAGGAGACAGAGCAATGTGGGGTAATTATGGATTCCTGCAGATCAGAGCGATCTATTGTTAATTTGCCTCAATTTGGAACGTGGTATACAAACCATGCCATCCTGACGCGTTGTGTCTTAACATGGATAGAGATGATGGCACTCGTATATATATGTATAAAAAAAAAATAAAAAAAAATGAACTCTACTTCAATCAATTCCACTCCTTCTTCCTTTGTCGTTGAAGCTCAAAACCCTACCGTTGCGATGCCCTCGACAATTGAAGTAAACTTGTCTCCCCAAGCCTTATTGAACTTGAGCAGTCTCTCCAAGAGGCTGATGCGGAAAGACAGCAATGTATGGACGAAAAAACTCGCCTGCTCACCAACTACAATAATAACCAAAAATCTAAATTACGACCTCGCTCCCCAGAAGAGCAAGAAGCTCAGCGAGAATTTCACAATCAGCTCAAATCCCTACAAAAGACTATGACGCGGCTGAAGCCCATTATAAGCTTATCAAAGATCACCTTGAAGCCCAGGAAGCCATCTGCAAGGAACGTCAACGGATTGTCAAGCAACGAGCCGCTTCTTCTCCCAGCGATGTTGATATGCAGGACAGCGGCAGTCTTGATATCGCACCTGATTATGAAATCAAGAAACATGCTGCATTGATCCGAGTTTTCAACTACAAACGGGTCCCTGTCCTAGACATAACTACCAAAGAAATCGACTTCTCAAGGGTCGAGCTGGAGAAGAAAGCGAATGCCCCTACGCTTAAATTCCAGTTGGACAATGTACCTGAGAAAGAAATAGCTCTAAAGGTGGCAAGAACTGTTATCGACTTCCTCAAGGCTTTCGAGACGTACTACCATAACTTCCTGACGGACGATCTCTTCGAGGACTTAGCTTGGCGGTACATGGGATTTGCTCTAGAACAGATCCGCTTGGATAACAAGTACAACCGCCTGATAAAGACAGAAGCTTATGGCGATCGCTCTTGGAAGCAAGTCAAAAGGAGCATCCATTTGATCCTGAAGCTCGATTTAATTCGATCCTGGATCACTTGCCAAATTACAGACCTTACTGTCTTGCCTCACGAAGATGCCAATACCTTCGCGGACAGAATAGAGTCAATTGTTGAAGCTGGTGGGCTACAGCCCATGGGCGTGCTCCTTTACGGCAAGGTCATAACGACGTTGTCCGATGCCGGTCAGGAAAGAGTCTTCGGAGAATTCAAGTCCTTAGACGCTATAAAGGACATAGATCAGTTGTTGGATTTTGTATCAAATTCTAAAAAATCACAATCAAAAGCACCACATCCGCATGACAATTATGCGGATCCCAAACCTAATAGAAATATTGGTTATAGAGGACCTGAACCGGAAGACAACAGAATATCTGTTCCCATAACTATAAATGGCCTATTGTACACGGCTTTATTTGATCCTGGTTCCAACGTATCCTTCATCAGTCGAGAAGTAGCCAAAGACCTCAAAATAAGGACTGCAACCTCGAAAAATACTGTAATTAAATTTGCAGACGACACTACTGGTTTTCAAAATGTCGGCACAGTAGATGCTATTACTCTCTCTTGTAATCACCGAACAGTAGAATGCAGAGTCAGTGTGATGCCTATGGGCTATTACGACTTCCTTATCGGAATGGATCTATTTTATCGCTTCGGCTTTGGGATCCATGGCATAGCTACAGCTGTTGCTGAAAAGGCAGATGATTTATTAGATGATGAAAGTAAACCGCCACTTGTGCCCTCCACTATGAAAGACCAAGAGTTAGAAACTGAATTCGTCGAACAGAAGAAGCAGTTCTTATTAGCCATTTATCCCTTCCTTTGCTCTAATAGCCAGATTGACCCTAAGAGTCACTGTCCACTAGACATTATGAGAGTCCATCTAAAAGTCAGAGATGACTGTGTGATCCAAGAACGCTCTCGTAGGTTCTACGCGCAAGTAGAAATGGATGAAGTCAATACCACCGTACAGAATTGGTTAGACAGCGGAGTTATAATGAGGCGCTTAAGGGCAATCCTTATAATAACTCTCTCACACTAGCAGCAAGGAAGAATTTAGAAGGCGAAATTATTAAATACAGAGTCTGTCTTGACCCAAGAACGCTGAACAAGCAGCTCGTGGATATTGATAACTTTCCTATCCCTATCATTTCCGAAATATTGGAACGAGCTGCAGGTCATAAGTATTTTACTACAATTGACTTGTCACAAGCATATCATAGATTACCTCTGGATGAGAAAAGCCAACCCTACACGGCATTTAAGCATATGAACAAACAATATATGTTTGCTCGTGCTCCTTTTGGGTTGAAGCCTATGACCAGTATATTCCAAAGAGGAATATCTCAATTGCTTGGATATCTTCACTTCGTTAGCGTTTATGTTGATGACATTGTCATTTTCTCCGACAGCATTGAAGAGCACACTGAACATGTCAAAATGGTGATCAAACTATTGACAAGTGCCAATCTGATTATCAATAAGGAAAAAAGCAATTTCCTCCGCATGGAAGTTTTGTTGCTCGGGTTCGTCATCGATACAAATGGTAGAAGGATTAATCCAGAAAAAGTTGCTAATGTTCAATCATGGGCTCCTCCCACCGATGGCAAAATGGTACAAAGATACCTTGGGATGTTTAACTACTTCAGAGAATACATACCCCTCTTTAGTACTTTGGCAGCACCTTTGGATAAATTGAGAAACGTCAAAGGACACTTTACACTTGGTGATTTAGAAATGCGTTGTTTTAATCAGTTGAAACAGCTCATCGTATCAGCACCTGTATTGTCATTCCCTGATTTCTCTCAGCCCCTTTATGTGGCCACTGACGCGTCCAATCTAGGCATTGGCGCAGTGCTTTACCAATTACCAAATGGTCCTGAAGATGGAACCAAAGTCAATTATATTTCTTTTATGGCTAGAGCTTTAAAGAACCACGAACGCAACTACCCAGCATATAAGAAAGAACTTTTAGGCATTATCTATGCTTGCAAAAAGTTTCACTACTACTTATGGGGTCGCAAATTCACCCTATACACTGATCACAAACCACTCACTTATATTCATGAACAAAAGGAACTTTCACAGATCTTAGCGGACTGGAGAGAAACCCTTCTCAGCTATGATTTCCAATGCATCTACAGACCTGGATTGCTGAACATTATTCCTGGTGCGCTATCGAGAGCTTTTCCTGATGAATTATGGGCCCGATAAAATAGTCCGACCCATCCAGAGTCTTCTCAATCAGAGTCTACAAGAGTATCTGCAGTATCAACAAGACGCAGCTTACGCTCCATTGACACAACTGATCCTCCAATAGTTACGCAATCAGCAGATCTTATTCCAAGGATTGAAAGTTTTAATACTTCTTTACCTTATGTGCACCAGATTCAAGATCAAGAAGTGCAACGAGTGACGCCTACTGATGATCAGCAAAAGCAACTTTTGAAAGATACACACAGCTTTGGACACCTTGGCATTAATGCCATGGTTGTATCATTGCAGCAGCAAGGGTATAACTGGCCCAAAATGCGTGAAGCCTGCAATCAGTGGATAAGACAATGCTCTGCTTGCCAGCACTATAATATCGTGCGTAAAGGCTATCATCCACTCAAAGCGATACATGCTACTCTACCAGGCGAGCACATAGACATTGACCTAGCCCAATTTCCTGTCAGTGACGCAGGCAACGAATACGCTCTTCTCGCCGTAGATGCATGCACGAGGTTTGTTTTTATCGAACCACTACCTAATCGGAATGCGGTTACTGTCGCCGCTCGACTTTTCAAATTATTCTGCTCCATTGGGTTCCCTAAAATTATCCAGAGTGATAATGGGACTGAATTTGTCAACTCTGTTGTCAGATTGTTAACTACCAAGCTTAAGATTGATCATAGGCTTACAACGCCTTATCATCCTCGGGCCAATGGATTAGCAGAACGTAATGTCCGTACCCTTAAAGATCTCTTGCAGAAATCTATTCAAGGCGAAATCACTAAATGGGATGACCAGCTTCCTATGGTCCAGTTACAAATGAATACTAGAGCTTCTAGCCTTCATGGCTCGGCGCCTTTTGCGCTGTTTTATGGTCGATCTTTCGCCGGCATATCTGACTTCTCGGTATCGAAATCACGATTGCTATCTGAATCAGAATTGAATGAGCGCTTAAAGTATCTTACTGACCTTTTATTCCCTGCTATTGCAGATAAGAGTACAGCCTCGCAGCAGAAAATGGTGGATAAATTCAACTCAAATCATTTTATAACTGACTTTCCTATTGCCGCCTATGTGATGATCAAAGACCCCTTGGCTAATAGTACACTTGATAATAAGTACATTGGGCCGTTTCAAGTAGTTCGCCGCACTGTTCGTGGTACATATGTTCTCCGTGACGCGATGAGACAACTACTACCTCGTAATTTTGCTCCTGAACAGCTTAAGCTAGTGGATCGACCACTTGATGCTTCGGATGATGCCGATGATCATTATGAAGTCGAAGCTATCTTGAGTCATGAAACTTCTAAGGGGGGAGAGACACTGTACACAGTTAAGTGGAAAGGGTATGACGATAAGCACAACTCGCAACTTAGGTACGAAGACTTTGACTCCAAAGCAATGATCAATAAGTACTATAAAAAGCTTAATCAGCAAAACCCTCATATGATTGCCAAAATGGCTAAGAGGAAGCAACCCGCAACAGTTGTAGAGTCAAGGGTTCAGAAAAGACAAAAGAACAGAAAGTAGAAGCAAAAACGAATGTAGCTTCACTGAGGTTTTTGTACGCATATCTTAACAAGCATGAACGTTTTCCTCACTATCAAATCAAACTTAAGGTTTTATTATTTTTATCCTTTTTTTATGGTCGCATCTAAAAAGAAATGCAGACGCTGAAGGTTTTATTTATTTTCCTTCAAAGAATTAATTTATTTATTTTCAAACAAGAAGGTTTTTATACTTTTCCTTCGATACTAATTATCCTAATAGGAAGATTTTATATATTTTCCTTCCAAGCTTTGTAAGCACTCGCTCTTACCTGGACGCTCGTCTGGGGGAGTAGTTATGTTGCGATTAGCAGTCATTTATATGGGTTTTTACTATAGCTAAGATTTTTACTCTTTTTATTTAACGAAGATCCCAGGATCATAATAAACACATCTTTCTTTCGTTCTCGTTACTTATTATGATCCTGGCATATTTCACCAAGAAAGCACTGATACAAAAAATATTATTCGCGTTTGAACACTTACAATATCAGTAACAGCTTCTTGTTCTTGGAATGAGGGAGTATTAGACATGTTCATAGTGGGATGAATGTAGGGTGAAGAATGGGTGTGCATACTTTCGATTGTGTGGTGAAAACAAGAGTGTTTGATGTTATATAATACGTCACATCAAGAAAAAAATATTTTCTCACACACAGCACAGCCCAACTTTGAAATAATGGAACAAATTTATCAATTGTCGCTCTTTCTTTAACTTGCTTCACTTCCTCTTCCTTTATTTTTTCACTTTTTTCTTATTTCCCTCCGGTTTTGCTCCCGTCAAGTTTGCTCTCCTTCCTCCCTCTCTTCCTTTTTCATTTTGTCCAAGCCTTCATTCATTGCCATTTTTTTCCTTTTTTTTTTTTTTTTTTTTCTTTTCCTCCCTCACCTTTATCTCCACAGCTTACATTGTCACAATTTTGAACCATCCTGCTACTGACTTACCATACCTAACATTTTGATCAAACTTTTCCGGTTTTCTGTCCTCCGTCCATTTACGCCCTTGTTTTTAAACAGTTTTGAAATCATAATGGGAAGCGGAACAACAACACCAAATGGTCCATCTAGACGTGGTTCGATTGAAAGAGAAAGAGAGGTTGAGAAAGAGCCAACCAACCTAAAGATTTATTGTATTGTTGATGGAGAAGCAGCGCCTTTTTCTGTAAACATTCTTTCCAATCGTTCAGTTGATGAACTCAAGCAAGCCATCTATTCGCCTGCTAGATTTGGTGATATCCCACCGGAGAAGCTCACTCTCAAGCTCATCCCCGGCGGCACAACGAAGAAAGGATTGGAAACATTATCCGAAGAATCGCTTGTAGTGCTCGATGAACTTGAAGAACTCAGCACTTATTTTCCAAAAGGTGCAGCAAAAGGTCGCATTCACATCATTGTCAAGCTGCCGCCGCCAGGTATGTATTTAGCTCTTGATGGACTGATGGCTGTTGATATTTTTAATTGACGAAGCTTATTGTCATTCATGACGTCATTGATGTAATTCAAAACAGCTCTTTATGTTTGAGATGTATCATGGCTAAACTATCTAACCAGGGGCGGCTTTGGATTTCTTTATAAAAAGAATTTGAAAAGTCGCCCCATGGTTCGTGCCTATACTCTGACTCTCACTGTCCTCTCGCGAGCCTTTTTACTTGGGCTTATTTCGGCTTCCCACTGCCCTATCGCATACAAGTACTTTTATCAAGGCCCTATCTAACTATCCTCTTGTTTATTTATTGCATGGATTTTAAACAGCCCCAAGAAGCCCAAAAAGGAACCTAGAAGACACAGGAGACGGAGATTTAGAAGGTGAGTTTATCCCGCTCATAGTTTTGATGATTCTTGAGGAAGTTTGTTTATTTCATACTCATGTCAGTCCTGCTATTTAATATGCTCAAAGAGCACTCTACAAAGCGCCTTGGCCCCTCGGAACCCCGAGAAGTTTATACTTTAGCCAATGGGAAGACAGTATCTTTACCCAAGTTCCTGACAGATATGCTCAATAGTACCAACTTCCAGCCGGACAGTCGTTTGGAGTTCTCATTACTGAAGGATGTTAAGGCTGGCGATCAGATACAGATAAAAGCCCTTGGTCATAAGCCAAAGCTCTTTGGATTAGAGAGTCAAGATCTTGTTACCGAGCAGATGATGGAATTATGGGAAGCGATGGCCGAGAAGTCTGGTTTGGCGTTTACAAAATGTTTGTCTGGCCCTATGGGAGTCGGGAAGTCCTATATAACCTGGTTTCTTGCCGCTAAGGCATATGCTCATGGCTGGCCAGTTCTTTACATCGCTGACGCAAGGGCCCTTGCTGTTTGTCAGGAGAATGTGAGGCATCAAGAGTGATTTGTCAACGCTTCCTAGATCTCAATAAGGATATCTTGACTGCAAAAGAGCTCTCCACCATGGCAAATTGTGGGAGTGTGGAAGCTATTGCCGAGCACATATTAGGAGACTTACTCCAACAACAAGGGGAAAAGACTCTCTTCATTGTCGATGAGCATGGTGCTCTGTTTCCTAGCGACAAAGCTCATGCAACAAGTAGGCTTCCTATCCTGGCTTCTCTGGATAGCTTCAACACTTGGGCGAGTGGTGTAAATAGTGGAGCGTGTGTTGTGTTCACAGGCAGTGCACATGGCAAGTTTGAAAGGACCATCCTCAATGATTCAGACTTTTATCTCGTTTATGTCGGGCCTTTGTCGCCAGACACGTTCGAAAAACTATTTAAAATTGTCATTTCTCACCTCGATTTGACAACTCAAAGGAATCTCGAGAGTCGTAAGAACACTGTTATTAGGATTACCAACCGAGTACCGGGCGATTTGGTCAGTTTGATTGATTCAATAAAACGCATAAAAGGAGAACAGCCCACGGTGGAGCAGATCGACAGCGGCTTAATAGCACACGACAAAGTATGCTTCGATTTCTATTCCAATGCGGCATCAACTTATTTCCACGCGCTCCAAGGAATCCGGAAGGATATAACTATCCAAGCGATGGGAACCAATTTCAAGAGGCCCTATTTCGGGAGCTTATTAGAGGAGAGTCTCATACGTTCCAGTCAACGGATCTTGCGGGCACTAACGAGATGGATATTATTTTCAATATCTCGGGATACGAGCTAATAGGAACGCCACCAAGGATGCTTGAAACTATAGGAGAAGATGGCAAAAAGATCCTGATAAACGGAGGCTCGTATGCACGATTCGATTTTATATTGGGCTACATGTTCATCCAAGTGTCGGTTAGTTCGTTCACGGTCCATAACGACCCAACAGGTTCAGTATACATTGACAAGGCATTTTCGAAAAGGGAAGCCACAGGTAAGAACCAGATTGAGGAATATTTGGATGCTGCATTTGGTGGTGTTCACCAAGCAACTATGACTGAAGAACCTGCTGATGACGAGAACGACAATATAGCCAGTAATGACAAGAGAAAGGGCAATAAGAGCAATAGGGGGAATAGGGGGAGAGGTAACAACCAGAGCGATGGCAAAGGAACCAATGCCGGAATTAAGAAAAGAAAGGGAAATGATGAGAGTAGTGATAACAACAAGAATGATGAAGGGAGCAGTAAGAAAAGAAAGACCGTCAAGAAGTTTGCAGTCACAAGAGATGGAAAGCCCTGCAATGACTTTCAAATTGTCTACATCTGTGGTGGAAATAAAGCTGATAAAAATGCAGGGTCTCCTAATCACACAGGCAAAGTCATCGAATATCCTCAAATCAGACATATATGCTACGATGAACTCAAGTCGAAGTTATTTCGGGCTTATATGTCGTAGTCACCTAAATCAACTCGAAATTTTGGACAGTCAATAAAAGACTTGTATTATACATCTGCATCACAAAAGGCGCTATTTCAATCGCCATTGTCAATCCACTCAAGTATCCATTCATTCATTCATAGCTATGGAAGCTGTTCTGTTCAAAACTGTGAATCCGTTTCATTGTTCCACCTCGGTGAAATGTTTAGCCGGGGACGACTTTGGATTTCTTCTTTATAAAAAGAATTTGAAAAGTCGCCCCATGGTCCGTGCGCGCCATAGAGATCCTCGCTCACTTGTTAAGGCGACTGTTCGGTGCTTGTTGGTTTTCCAAATCTGCTCTGATTTCACCGCAATTTAGCGGAAATGATTAGCATCCCCTGAATAGCTGCCATCCAAAGGGACTAACTTCGAATGGACAGGATTTACTGTGTTTGTTCAAAACAATAAAGCTTGACTGAAAGTCTGCTAATCCTCAAACTATGAGGCAAATATTGCCTCTGAACGCTTCAATAGGATTATGGCGAGCTTTTGGGGTGCAGAAAAGACAAGATTGTCTCTTTTGAGCAATGAAGGATATAGGACTTGTTCCTTGGAGGCACACTTTTTTGAAACCACGCTTGTTGCTAGTAAAAACACAAATGGTTCCCGTTTTCCGCATACTTTCAGCGCTTCCACAATCCAAGGGCTGTGATGTAGCCATTAAATGTTATTTGTTTGTCGAAGTATTGACACATCCCTTGCAAAAGTTCGGATGTATGCTAAGAATATTGTTTAAGGGACATAGAGTAGCCAATAGCATGTGGCAGTGTTCAGGTGTTTGTACAGTATCAGATGGAGTCCGAACAGTCGCCAGTACATAGAAGAGGCTAGAATATCCTATTCTCCGTCTCATAATTTTATTGAAGTGTCTTTAGACGTTGTTTTACATCACATTTTGAGAGTTGGCTGAGTACCAGTAGAATAGTCTTGTTTTGAACAATGCAGTGAACTCCAGTAAATCTAGCTAGCTCCCTGGATGGCGGCCATTCAAGAGAAACCAAAACAATTCTGCTAATTACTGCCAAGTCCAGGCAGATACGGAAATAATACAACAGATGCCGAGCAGCCGCCATACATAATACACAACACACATATCAAGTCAATCATGTTCATGACGATTGGTATACATGGTCAAGAATTCTGACTTTATTAGACCTGTGGACTCCACATGGCCGAACAAGCGAAAAAATCGTATCAAGCGACTAGGTCGCATCCGGTACAACGGACCAACTGGCCACGCGGTACTTGAACTTGCTGGGAAACCGTCTCCTGGCTACCTTAGCATAGACACATTCTTCAAGAGATGTAATTAAAAGAGGTTTATGAGTTATGAATAATGGTTAATGGCTAAGAACGTAAAGATAGACATCCTTTTTTTTTTTTTTTCTATCATAGCTTCCTTACCCGAGACAAATCATGTCACGAATGGATGGGCACATTCTTCATTGACCTGCCTTAGGCGGGCCCCTCGTTCTACTCTTCAATATACTAAGTATATTGGCTTACTGTCAAAGGTAGGAAGGATAGTATATCCTGCTTACTTTTTATCCACGCAGTTATGAGTTTCTCATTAACTTCGTAGCTACAGTTCACACCGCAGATATTATATATCGATGGTGCATATGGGCCTTTACACCATAATGTATGGTGGAAATGACTCTTGGCGGTTCCTCAGTGGTTTCCAATTCTCAACCTTTGTGGCTCAAGGTTGGGCCTAACTGATTGTGTTGCAGAGAGAAATATGTGAGGGAAGAATGGCAAAGAGTTGAAAAGGTGATGCAGAAAAGGTTCATTTTATACGTGATGCAAACATACCCCATGACCATGACCCTTGTGATTAAAAAAACCACATGATATCATTCAAGAATTATGCAAGACAGATAGGGTTAGTAAGCCTGCCTTTCGAGCAAACATGAACATTATAAACTATTCTTTTTTTATGTTGGTCTAGAGTTCCAGACCATACAGATGTGTCGATACCTAAAACCGAAAGGTTTGTAGGACAATTTTGTCCAATTGTTTTGGAATCATAAATCCATGTAAAACACGAAGCTTAAGCAAATGAAATAGTCTAGGATGAATTTGAAGTCTTGGTCACTTAGTGTTTTTATCTTGGAGTGTCATGCACTGGAATATATTATGTCATTCTCCCTGTCCCACACGTTCAGTGGAAGATGGCCTGAGGTTTTCTTTGTAGGTCTGTAAGAGTGATCAATGTCAAAAGCTTCTCTCTCCAAATGTCCACACACGACCTGCAAAAGTATAGGTCAAGGGGCCAAGGGTCTAGGATTATGGTTGATTTTATTATTGCTGAGGAAAGTCTAGCTAGGACTACGGAGACAACTATTTATATTATGTAGTTCTTCTACAAGGAACAATCTAGAGATTGGGCAAAGCACTGTTTATGTAACAGCTAAATTCTAGCATTTCCCACTTGCTGTTTGTGCATGACATAGTTGCATCGAGCATCCTATTTGGGAAAAAGAGGCGGAAGATACTAAGGGGGAGGGCTTGGATTAACTGCGAATATATGAGGAGAGATTTATAATCCGATTCAGGCAAGGCAATGAATTGAGCTCAAAGGGTGAGGAACTTGGGCTCTTCAACGCCTTTTGTCAATCCAACAGATCAAAATGACCCTGCAAATGTTGGAAGAGAGTGTGGCTTAAAATAAGGTTATTGGATAAATTCGCCCGTTGATAGGCGCCTTGATCAGTTACTATTGCAGTCTATTGAGCTGATGCATGCTTCAGAAATAAACGACGCTAGTACGGTGAGTGAAACAGGTATAAATACGGATGGAATAAATGAAAAGGTTACTGGAGGGAAAGACCTTGGCATGGAACGCGAGGCTAAAATAGATCTAGTCGCGTTATTGAATATCGATGGTAAACTATAATATTAATAAAGAGTACATATATTGCGTGTTAATTCATTCGTTAAGGTATAGATTTTTTTTTTTTCCTTTCCAACAGCCAGAACATCAGCCATGGGGGTCTCACACGTGTGGAACAGATGTTCGAGTGAAATGTTTCATTTTTTTTTAAGTGATGGAGCTGCTTGGCAAGGAAATTATCTATATATCAATTCATGCGCATGGTCAATAAGCTCAAGGTCAGCTTTTAAGCCATAGAGTTGCAACAGAACATTTGGAGACAGTTGCCTGAATGGATGTATTATATGTATCATCGAGATATCACATAATCTATAGCCCCAGTTCATCTGGCTACGAATCTATATATGGTCTACAGAATGAAATGTAAAAATCAGCCATCAAATCAACTACCGTTCATTTTAAAACTATTTGGGTTCGTGACCGAATGAATTGGGCTGTACAAAGGAAGTCATTGAAGGCGATCAGGTTCTTTTTGTGGAGGAGAAAAAAAAAAATTAATAATCCTTGGCTATGGTCCACCCCCACAAAAAATGGAATGAAAAAGTAAAAAGAAAAGTATCTTGGGAAAGTTATGTTTGTGCAAACATGTAATCTGTAGGCAACAAAGTCTAAAGCGAATGATGTTGAATGGTTGGAACGTGCGTAAACAATTTTTTTTTGTCACTTCAATAAATTATGACATGCACAGACACAAAAAACGCGTCTTAAAGTAAATTTCCTCTTATTTTTTTATTTTTTATTTTTTATTTTTTTCCCAATAGCATCCTATGACATAAACAAATGCCAAGGCAAAGCAACATTGTAAGGTATGCTGGAGTCATCTAGTGGTTCCTACTAGAATATATTTAAAGTAAGCAGTGAGGATCGTTGGAACCATACAAAGAGCTGCAAGTGAAGTAAAGCGGGAATGTGGAGATGTGTTTATATATACACCTTTAAACAAGGGTTTTTATTCTTTGACCCCTTTCAAAACTCAAAGTAACTGAATGGACGTGATATTACTTTAGTTACTTACAATATTGGTATATGCCGACAGGCAAATAGGGCTTTAATCAAAATATCGAATGATTTCTTGATGTTTGTTTTTGTGTTTCATAACAATAGGGTCTTTATTTGGGGGCTTTATCAAAGAAGCATTTTCATCTTGAATTATTGGATGTAAATTTGCATGACTGGGCACAACAGAGATTGTTCTGTAAAGTTGTCATTTGTTTTGATGCTATGATTGTTTATGCTAATAGGTAATGAAATAAGAATAAAATAAACGTTTATTCATGCTCTTGCTCTTTATTTTTACAACATGTTCTATATTTCAATGAACATGTGGATGTGGAGAGTGTTTTTTTTTATATTTTATATGATGATCCTTGATTTCCCCCAAAAATCAACTGAGTTTACTGAAAAACCTATCTGGGCTTATACCGCTTATACTCCTCTCACCAACCATTACTCACTACTCCCTAAATTCATGTAGTTATAGGATGATATGATAGTTAAGCAGTTCGAGGAAAAGCAATGCTCTTTTCTACATTTTTATTCTCTATAGTTATCTATTTACTAACAGGGTTAATTAGCGATGAAGGGGCCAGAAGCGCCAGTTTTATTCTTATGAGATCAAAGAAAAAAATTACTCTGGATAGCTTTTGAAGGCGTCTGAAACAGAAAAACACTTTAGTATCCAGCAGTTTTTGGAAATAAAACGATACTACACATGAATAAAGGGTAGATCATTCGTTGCCAAAGTCGGCGAATGGTTAGGACGAACCTTTGTGTGAGGGAGTTCCAAGTCGCCAAGAAAAGGCAATGCGGCTATGGTCCTGCCCATGTGTTTAGTTGGATGCACTGAATGTGGGAGAAAGAGCGTACATTCGAATAAAGTAAGAGGGAGAATGCTGGTATTTGGGGCCCATGCATTATTGATTGCACATGATTACTTGGCTTCAAATCCTTATGGTAAAGTAGGTCGATGCGTTTGATTGACTACATGTACTTCGATAAGTAGGCCTTTTTGATTACCAATTACCAATCCTTGGCTTATTCTCAAGAAACTACAGGAGGTAGCATCATTGGTATAAACTATCAATCTATCTTTTGAACCTAAAAAAATAAAAAATAAAAAAAATAAAGGACCTCTAATTTAGTGTGGCCATGAGATGCTCAATTGTGTACTATTCGAGGGGTATGGCACGTATACATGTCAATTAACCCTGAATCACCAAGGAGGCGTGGGGTTGGGCAAAGCACACGCGGAGAAAAAGGGGTTGAGCAGCCCCACATGTGTCCACAGATCTTGCCCAGCCCAGTAGAATAAGCCTCAGAAAGCTCATCAAGGTTTAACGCCCCAAGTACATCTATTTGAGGGAAATTAAGACTTTCATTCGGGTGGAAGCAGGAGCAGCGAAGCGAGCAATATACTGTTTGTGCGCAAGGAAACTTCCGGAGCCCAAATATTTCAGGTATAAATGTAATGCTTCGCTGCAATACTAAGACTATATATTTATTCAATTGAATATAATACTTGGTTCCAGCGACTTGGCTTGTGGGCAGGCTCAAACGTTTTTGCTTTGCCTTTTTTTGTCATTGACATGTGTGTTACACTTTTTTTTTATGCATATATTATGGTTCTGCATTATCGACAATCCTCCTTTTTGTTTCCTCATTTTTACTTCTGTTATCCTCTTTTCAAGTCTCCTACTTCTCATCGATAGAGCGAGAAAAAAGCACTCCTCAGCCTTGAAGACTTGCTCCTTGACAAGGCAATAATTATTTTGTCTTGTACGAACTATCTATTCCGCATCCCTATCAAATCATTCTTCACTTCGTATCCCCTAGTTTTCAGTTTCTTAAAAATTTCCGACTTTACTTTTAGCGCCCTTACTTTGACGTATTTCAAGTCCTTCAATCGCAATCGAATCACAATTGATCCTTTCCCTTCACTACTTACTTCTCATAACGAAACATGGGCGTCTTTGGAGAAAAACATACATCGCTGACACGCGAGCAGAAACGCCAACTGATCCGTCAAGCAGACACTTACAAGCTTAGGCCAACAGAGGTGTGCGATTGGGTTCAGGCCACCTGGGGCCTCCGGATCGCACGAGTAACAGTTTATTCAATCCTGCACAAACAGCGTGCTTCGCTTATGGCTGGTCATAAGGATCTTTACCAATCTATCCATAAAGACAGTAATAGTGGCGCTTCTACTGCTGCATCCTCCTCCTCTAAGAATCCCAGCTTCACAAATACCTACTCTAGTTCTCAGGACGCCTGTCTCGAAGCGAATAAGGATTCAGGGCGAGTCAACAAGTATCGCACAAGTGGCAAGCGTTCGCGCAGCTCAAGCGCAAATGCCTCTAGTAGTGTCGCCAGTGACTTGTCACAGCCAGATAACTACACTGCTTCTGAAGGTATTTTTTTTACTTTTATTTTTATTTTTTTATATTTTTACAACATTTACACTATGATCCACCAATGTCTTTCCCTTCCCCCATCACTATTCCTTGTTTGTCTCGGCAGTACCTTGGCCTGATTGTGGTTGTCTTTTTTTTTTTTTTTTTTTTAATACCCTTTTAAAACCGGAACGAATGATGCAGCGGAGCTGTTGATCCAAAATAGTATGGTCACTCATCTCAGTTGCATTTGTTGATTTGTTTTTGATGGTTCTCCACATCTGGCAATAATTATCGAATTTAAGGCTTTCAATTCAATCTGTTACAGCGCGTCATATTTTATAATTAAAGTTTGTACTCAATGACTGCAGCATTGCTCTCATAACAAATACAAATATTGTGGGATATTTGCTCTTCCTTGCTCACTCCCCAATCTCTTTAAATCTTTCCCCTTTTTTTCTTCCTTGTGCTTCATCCGGTTCGCTTCGCATCACACCCAACAGCTTTCTTGTGCTGGAATTCGCTAACCTATTCAATTTAATTCATTCATAATTAAGGTACTCGATGGGAAGGGCAACTCAAGCGCGTGCGAGAGCCGGCTTCGGTTGAGCTGGACCGAGCCATGGTCCAGTTCCTAAAGTCCTCAGCAGCCGTCGATGCGCATGGCCGCCGACTCAATGATGCTGAGCTACAGTCTCATGCTCTGCGCCTCGCTCGAGGCATTCCCAGCGCTAGCCGAATGCGGTGCTCTTTCGGTTGGCTCAGACATTTCAAGCGCAGGCTGGGTGTCCAGTGGGCTGCGGACCGGCTCGGCCGATACAGATGGATCATCGAGACAGACCCATTTGGGCCTTCAACAGATACAGATTCTCAGCCTTCTTCGGCTGCTGAAGTGGCTCCTCCCTCGGCTGAGAAGTCTGCATCTGCTCACAATTATACGCCTCGCCGCAATGCCTCCTCAAGACGCCAAGGCAAGAGGGAACACGGCGATAAGGCAACACAATCGGAATCACATTCCTATCTTCAGCAAACCTCGGATGAAGTTGTGGCAGGTCATGAGGACGATTCTTGCCAAGAATTGTCGGGGAAGGACTATGAGCTTTCTCCTGAAGCTGTCCATTCCCTTGAGCAAAGCAAGCGCAATCGGTCTACTTCGACGTCAACCTCTAATACTGACCTACCTAATGCAGACTCTTTCAGCCTAGATCAATTGCAGCAACCGCGTCGCAGCTTAGATTTGCATCACCACCAGCACAGGCACTATTCGTCCTTAGCATCGTTCCCCTCCCACACACTGGATATCCCTACCTCGTCACTCGCCCATCCCTCGCATAGCACCTTCCTCAGTCTTCATTCGCACACTACTCATTCCTCTATCCTTGACTCTTTTCCCAGCCTGTTTGACTCATTGCCTCCTCTGCAAACTGCCCCAGCCACTGTTCCCACTTCCCAACTCTTACCTAATAACACAACTCTTAACAGCTCGAACACCAATGCCATCCACACTTCATCGTCACCATCCAATACGGATGTTAATATGAACCCTTCGCAGTTTGGTATGATGGTAGATGGTGGAATGCGCAAAGTTCCTTCTAAGGATGAGGCCTATGAGATGCTACAGAGCTTGCTTCTCTATTACGAACAGGACCAGCACCATGGGGGTGGGCAACAAACACTCCTCCTTCCTCGTTGGATTCATCAACAAAGACAGATTATGCAGGAAACTGATGAGAATGATGCCAGCTTGACATGGATGCGTCAAAACTATCCTCGTGCTAATAACATCAACCATCAACAGACTCAGACTAGCCCATTGTCGTCCTCTGTACCTGCTACGTTTGCTCCTCATCCTCTTTCACTGGCTTCGACCTCTCAGCATCAGCCACATCCTCTATCAGCTCAGTCGCTATCATATACCCACTCCAATTTCTCACAGACTAGTCCTATTCATCCCTCACACCGCTCTGCTTCTTCAAGTCTTTCGCCACCATTGTCGCCAGCTTCGACGTCAAGTCCAACTCCCAGTACATTCACCTCTTCATCACTTGACACTGGAGTAGGAGGAATCAACAGTAATGGTATCAGTAATAGTGCCACCAGTAACAATAACAGTATACATCATAGCATGAGTGGTTCAGCTGGTCTGAATCACTTCAATATCAGCTCTGCATTCCCTTCATTGACATCCTCTATTGAGCAACAAATGTTCTTTGCACACCATCATGCCATGCAGCAGCAATTTGCATTTCAACAACAACAACAACATCATCATCAGCAGCAACAGCAACAGCAACAGCAACAGCAACAGCAACAGCAACAGCAACAGCAACAGCAACAGCAACAGCAACAGCAACAGCAACAGCAACAACAACAACAACACCAGCAGCAGTGATGACTCTTTGTCGATAACATAAAGATCGGTCCCAGACCAAAAAAAAAAAGAGCTTGTATTTTTACTACATTAGCATTTATCTTCCTGAAAATAGCATTTGTTTATTCATATCCCGTCAATCAATAAATAATGTTTGACCTTCAATCATTTGTTTTCGTGATTTTAACAACGTGGACACTTTTTTTTTTTTTTTTGTTACGAGGGAAGGATACATCAGGGACGTACAACCTCTTGTCCAATCCATCCCTGGTCCATCATAAAAAAAAAAAAAAAAAAAAAACCTATAGTGGGAGGAACTTTCCAAATGACGCAACGTGGTGTTTATGAATATCCTTTACTTTTCTAATTAAACTCCATCAAGCCTATCCGGCGACAGCCTAGTAGACGCAATCATACCTTCAGGGGAATATAAATGTCAAATTGTCTGTGGGCAACAACAGACGTGAAAACTGTTAATAATAATAATAAAAAAAAAAAAGCAATGATTTATAACTGCAAGATTCATAGGTAGGTTCATATATATACTATGAAGTTTCTGATGGAAATCAAGAATGCTGGTGAGCGTGAAGTTACATAACAACAGCCGTGTTTAATCATCTTTTTTTTCTGCTTTGTCATTACCACAAGAGAAAGGAGGCATGGAGATGATTGATAATCGAGGAAGGGGGGACACAGACAAAGAATATCCCGCTTTGGTGGTACAAGAAATCACACGCGAGTGCAGACTAGTGAGCTAGGAAAAATCGGAAGAAGGAGAGATGTGCTCATCCTTGGTCCTTTTATCATATCTTCTGTCTTGTTGAGTGAATATTCGAACAAATAAATTGATACTTTTTACTTTTATCCTCATCTGAGAGATCAGAGATATCGATCCACAAAGCGCACAACAGAAGAGAACATTATACGAAATCTAGATGAAAACGGTCAAAATGATGTCCTTTCATGCTTTTATGTACCAGCTATTGTTTGGCTCTAGCGGGATCATACAAACTACTCCTTTATCTAGACATCAGGAGGTTACAGCTGCTTTGTACACACAGTGTTTGTCGCGTACTTTGAAGGATAAAACAGGTCTTAGATCTGGATCCTGAAGCATAAAATGATCAGCTTGGACGTTGTGAGTTTTGGATTTGAAAGCTTAAAAACCATTAAACATTGTTCGTAATGTGCCCGCTGCCCTGATTCTATTTATGAAGCAACATCCGTTTCCATGTTATCCCATACCAAAAAGAGGTCTGATGCGCCTTTGTTTCCGACTTAAATATTAGGTATAAATAACGTGTTTCGAGATTGAAAAATGCATTATATTGTGAAATTTAGGTTAAATCTATTTGGTTTTCTTTTTTGGAGGCTTGAGTGGAATATCGTATGGGTCTACTCCTTGGCTAACAAGAGTAAAAAAAAAAAAAAAGAGCGTCAATGATATGTGCAATTTGATCTGTGTCTGATCAACTCAATGATTGTTTAAAGCACATCAATAAGAAAAAAAAAAAAAAAAAAAAAAAAAAAAAAGTAACCTACCGATATTTTTCTCTCCAGCTCAGAATCCAGCGCCTTTGTTGGACATTAAGGCCCATATCTTTTTTCATCTCGTGGGAAGTTGCCGTGAAAAGGTGTTCCCAAGACTTGAACTTGTCGGCGAATTGAGCAGAGCTACGGCCGATCTTGTTCAAGAACGCAGCTGGATCCTGGATATCGCCTAATGTCAGATTATCAAAAAGGAAATGTCCGCGCAATTATGTCAGCTGAATGTATTCCTTGAAGGCTTATTTCAGTTTAAAAATCCCTTCAGTGTTGACAACCATGCACTGATCCTATGCATGGACTACATTTGCAATACCTCGCGGTGCTGGGACAGACTTCTTTGCTGCTGCTTCATGGAGACCGCGGATGCCTAAAGGCATCCTCGTAATGCATCGAGTGAAGAGAGGATTCATCATGTCCTGTTAGGGAAGTGCTGGCTGGCGATACAATCGGTGTATTGATGGCAATCACTTCGGAGTCACCAAGAAAGAGCAAATGAAGGTTTAAACCTCCTCTTCACTGTTTGTGGCTGAGAAACCGCAACCCAAAATCACGTGCCACAGGGCTTTGCCTTTATTCTAAACCTTCTGTTTCCTGGAGGAAAAATAAGCAACAGTTATAACTTTTTTGTCTTTAATTTCACGCATTCAGCATCATCATGAAGAAGTCGTTCGGAAGTAGCAAGAACAAGAATAAGGAAAAAAAGACACCTTCCAAGGAGGCGCCTGCACCACAAACATGGGAGGAGTACATGGAGGGTAATTCCATCGATTTCCTTTTAATTAGCCTACGCTCTTTTTCCAGCAATGCAACGGTGTTCCACTTTGCTTCGCGTCAGACAAAAAAAAACCATATTGCAACAGTCTTAATTTTTCATTTTCTTGATTTTTTTACCACTCGCTACATACACCATGCGGCATGTACCACTTTTATAGCATGGCTTGAATACCAATATCCTACTTTCCCCCGTCTTTTTTTTTTTTTTTTTTTTTGGAGGGAATTTTGGCTCCCTGAATTCAACCAAATCGTTTATCTGACCACTAACTGAAGACTTTTTAATGCACTTCTTCCTGCTGATAATTGTCTCCAGAGGGCGTTCTGCTTGAGGAAAAGGGTATGTTGTAAGGAATATGTACTCTATGTACCCCCTTGATGTTTATGCGAGCTCCACAAAACAGCAAACTAATTTTTTTTTTTTTTTTTTTTTTTTTGCTCATCCGACAGGTGAGCGTTATGGCACAGGTGACAAGGCGAGGCGTTACTATGAGAAGGCTGGAGATATGTATAACAAGGCTTGCAAACTTAATCCCGAGGATTCTGACTGTCTTTACAATTTGTATGAATTGCTCTTTGTGTCATAAATTTGACGCCATGGCATGGTTTACGTAATTTTTTATTTACATGTACCTTATTGTTTTTTTTTTGCTTAATAGTGGAAGAGTCCTCTACATCTTGGTTGACTTTACGCATTCGACCTGCCAGAAACTCTCTTTGCTGAACGCATCAATTGTACGGTTCAGATCCGCTCTTCATTATGACCCCGATAATACCGACACCCTCTTCAATCTTGGACAGGCATTGACCACCCATGCTGAGGTCGTCCAGGACCATGAGGAGGATGAGGAGGATGGGGATGGCCAGGATCATAGGCATGGAGACGAAGATAATTTTCAGGGAAGCCCAGAAGAACGTGCAGTATTAGAGCTTTTGGAAGCCATCAAATTGTTCGAAACTTGTTATTCCATCCAACAGCGAGAGTTGTACGCGGCTGTCCAACAGGCCAGCTCAAAGGACAACGGAGTTACAGAGGAGAAGACTGAGGGGTCGGGAGAGCATGAGAAACAGGAGCTATCCAACTCAGCAGGCGTTTTGATTGACACATTGATTTCCGCCTCTCAAGCTTTGACTTCATTAGCCTTCTTGGTCGATACTGTTGAACGCTCCCAGACATACTATAAACAGGCGAAGGA